ATATATTCCCTTTTAGAATAAATAAATATAAGGACTTTCTTTTTATCTCCTTATAAAATAGCTAATATAATATTTATACTAACTAATAGGCTTTATACTAGTAAAGATAAAGATAAGTTTAATAATATTCTATTCCCCTAAATATCTAAGTTAATTATACTATAGCTTATACTTTAGGTTATTTATTATATAAGTTAATATACTAATACTTAAAGTAATATAGTTAATTATATAGACTTTAGTAGTCTACTAAATAGTAAGAATAACCCCTTAATCCTTTATTATAATTATTCTTTTTTTATTAAAGATTATTATAATATCCTTTACTACTAGGTAGCTAATAAAGAGTAGGCTTATTAAGGTACCTTTCTATAGAATACTATTATATAATTCTAAGGTAGTCTTAAGGCTTTTTATAGTAATAATAGCTATTTTATAAGTAGTAGGTTTTAAGATAGTATTAATAAGACCTTAAATACTAAAGCCTAAGTAAAGGGATAGGTTCTTTATAAGTTCCTTATAGCTTAAGATATAGCTAAATATACTAAAGTTAAATAGTATTAGTTTTTAATATAATAATATAGAAAGACTAAAATCTTATCTAGGTTTAATACTTATAAGAGTATTATCTACTTTAAATTAATTAGAGTATTATAAGCTTTAAGAGATAATAAAAGTAAGTTAGGCTAGCTTAGAATCTATAAAAAGACTTATATACTATTTAAAGTTAACCTTTTTATATTTATATTTATTATTATATTTCTTAGTTAGGTATTAGTACTTTTTATTTTATTAAAATAAAGAGGGTAGGTTTACTAAATAGAGTTTAGAGTATAGCTTCTAGTATTACTTATTAAAGTAACCTAGAAGCTTATAAAAGGAATAAAAGTACCTAGTAGTATTAGGTTTTATTATACTATAAGGGGGATACTTTTTAATAGCTATTATAATAATTAAAATAGTTTATTATTTAGACTTTTTATTATTCTATTATTTAAGCTTAATAAGGTTAGTTATAATTATAACTACCTATATAAGTATAGTTATAAAAGCTATAATAATATTATTAGTTTACTTTAGAATAAGATAAAAGGCTATCTTAGTAGTATAGAAGTTAAACTCTTTATTAAGACTATTAATAAAAAGATATACTATTAAAGCCTTAAAGACTTTAAAGTCTTTATTAAGAGATTACTACTTAGCCTAAGTATTAATAAATACTATAGTAAGTTTCTTAATAAATCTATATTAAATAAAGGTTAATATTAGAAGATAATTAGCTATAGTTTAGAAGATAGTAATACTTTTTAGTTTAAAGTACTTCTTAAAGGCTATAATTATATCTAATATTATAACTTTATTTTTAATAAAGTTATAGGTATATTCTTTAAGGCTTATATTAATAAAAGTAATAGTATAGACTTAGTCCTATATCTATTCTTAAATAAGATTCTTTATAGTCTTACTACTATAAGCCTTAGTTAGGATAGAGTTATTTTCTTAGCTTTCTAATAGTAATCTATTAAGATTATTAAGTCTTAGTATATTAATTATCTTTAGCTTTTATTTAACTTAGTTACTTTTAGATTTAAGCTTTAAGATATTTAGTACCTCCTTTAGTATTAAGGATATAGTACTAAATAATAAAGTAGGTAATAAGGCTATAAAAAGATCTTAGCTTATATATAAGAGTTAAGTTACTAATAGTATTACCTATTAAGGAAGTAGAACTTTAAGATAATAAGGAGGATAATAAGCTAAGTATATAGTCTTTTTTTTTAAATTAAGTACTTTATATTTATTTAAAAGTAAGAAGTATTTAAATAAATAATAAAGAATTCTTTTTACTAAGTAAGTAGTTACTATATACCTTTTATAATAGTTAAGACTATAGATTATAGTAAGTAATCTAGTAAGTATATTTAGAACTATAAATTATAGTAAATAATCTAATAAGTATATCTATTTAAAGGCTATAATTATACTAAGTAAATTTATATTATAATATATATAAAATAAGTATATAGAGTCTATATATAAATTACTAAGTAGGGTATAGTAATAGAATTTCTTTTTCTTTATATAGAATTTTTATAGTAAATAGACTTATTAAATATACTCTAGATTAGTTAGAATTTAAGGTCTTTCCTCTTCCTATATATAAGAAGTTATAAATTTCTTAAGTTTTATAGTAAATATTAGCTTATATAGATAATAAGTAAATTTAGTAAGAAATTAATACTTTCTTTTATTTTATTAATAGCTTTTATAATATAAGTACTACTAGGCTTATAACCTATTATAACTAATAGGGTATATATAGGGTAAGAGGTAAAGTTATTATATTATATATCTTCTATCTAGTTATATAGTATAGGTAAGTACTAGATATACTAGGTAATAAGAGATTGTTCTTCTAGCTTTAGAGCCGCCTGTTATTAGTTATGCCTTATATAGTAGCAATAAAGTAGGTATTAATAGTCTCTTCTAGCTCTTTATCTAGGGTATATACTACTATAGCTTATAGATTATTAAAATAATCTACTAGGCTATATTCTTCCTCCTCTAATAGTATATCTATAGACTAGTTATCTCCCTAGGTTATACCTTAATCCTCTATTTCCTTATCTTACTAGTATATACCTACTATCTACTATAGCCTACTACCTTAATTATATTCTCCCTAGTTATATAGCTAATAGGGAGTATAATATAAGGGGTATATATTATTCCTATACTTACTATAGCTATTACTATTTTTTCTAAAGCTATTTATATTCTATATACTACTAGTAGCTTAAGGTAGGATACCTATATTACTATAGAATAGTTTAAAGGGGGCTACCTATAGGGCTTTCCTTATATCCTATAGCTACTATATATAGCCCTAGCCTTACTATATATATACTAAGGGTAGGGATTACTAGCTATCCTAATAGCTATTTAACTATTATTATCCTTACTATTTATTATAAGACTAACTATAAATATTATATAGCTTAGATAGGTACTATACTACTTAATCTAAATATAGTATATAAGGTATATTATTCTACTTCTACTTTATAAGATTTTTTATTATATCCTATTATTCTTATAATATTATTATAAACTATAAAGCTATAGTATTTAATACTAATAGTAGTAATAGGCTATAGATTATTAGGTTAAAAGAGTTATATACTATCTAAAGTTATACCTACTAGCCTAATTTATAAGCTTATATATCTCTTAATACTTATAAGGTATATATTTTAATACTATAGCTATTATATATATCTATTAAAGTATATTAAGCCTTTACTAGGTCTTTAATAGCTTTTACTATTAACTTTTACTATTTTTTAATAAGACTAGTATAGATATCCTCTATAGATATATTATAGAGTAGTTATTAGTTTACTATAATAAGGTAGCTATTATACTATTAGGTAGCTTTACTATATAAATAAGTTACCTAAATATCCTTAACCTATTACTTATTATAGCTAATAATATACTACTTAAGCTAGTTTATAAATATATAAATATAAATAAATATTAGATCTTTAGTAGCTTTTATAACTTAACTAATCCCTTATTTATCTTAGTATTAAAAGTCTAGATTAAAGAATCTAATATTATTTTTATAAAGCTTAGCTAACTTAAGCTTACTAGCTATTACTATTACTACTATAGATATTACTAGTATCTCTTTATAGTAATATACTAAGGTTAGTTTTATAATAGCTACTATCTATATTAAGACTATTAAGAAGAGTATATTAATATCCTATATAGGTAGCTAGGGGTTACTTAAAAGGGGTATACTTCCTATCTCTACCTAGCTTACTTATTAATAACTTACTTAAAGATTTAAGGTTATTTATTATTTAGTATTTATTTATATATAATAAGATAAGCTAATTTCTCTAAGCTAGGTAATAAAATTTAAGAAGTTTAAGAAGAATATTAATAAGGGGGTTAAATAGGAATAGGTCTATATTAGGAAGGTACCTAGTAGGCTAAATATATAGGCTTAGCTTCCCTTCTCTTATCCTCTTACTTCCTACCTTTCCTACTCTTCCTACTATATTTATTCTCCTCTTTAATATAGCTTAAGTCTTATTAAAAATAGCTCTATATAGGCTTAGTAAATAAGCTATTTTATAAGGACTATATAGTTTTTTATAGGTATATATATATTTATATAAGTTCTTTAGGCTTTTAAAATAGTATATACTATACTTAAGTTAAAAAGAGTCTTTTCTTATTTATCTATTTAGTTTTATATATATATAATATAGGTTAGCTAACTTATAATATAAGTTAAATAACTTTTATTTATTTCTATATATAGTAGCTTAATATTAATATACTACTTAGCTTATTAAAGCTAATATATTTTAACTAGTATTTAAATTAACTAGCTTAGCTAGATTTACTTTTATAATACTAGTATTAAGGGGGGATAGATTAAATTAAAGAAGGGGGGGGGTATTTAGTATATTAGCTATAGCTAATTATAGGTAAGAAAAAAAAGAAAAATAAAAATAAATATTACTATTAATAAAAGCTTTAAATTTAATAAATTTTAATAGTCTTTAATAATCCTACTAGTGTTACTACTATTTTATTAGGCATAAGAGTTTGGTAAGATGATGATGTATTCGCTAGCTTCTGCGTGGGTGGCTTATAGCCCTAAGAGTACTGTGCACGTGCTGTGCACGTGACACAGAGGCAGAGCCCAGCAAAGGGCCGAAGATACGGAAGAAAAAAACTGCACAAGCGACAACTGTGGCTAGTGCGCTCGGCCAAGCCGCAGCCAAGCCTGCCAGTGGTTCCTGTTGCTACCGTGCCAGTACCAAGTTTGATAGCATCGAACGGCCTTAATTTTTTGTCCACACCTCCCTCTTCCTCTTCCCATCTTGCGTCACTTCTTTTCTTCTCCGTATTGCGCATCTGGTCTGGCTTGCTTCTTTGCTTCCCTGGACACATTTACTCGTCACACAGTCATCACAATGCTGGCCATTCGCTCCCTCTCCGCCAGGCAATGCCTGCGCGCTGCTCCCCGCGCTGCCACCTGGTCTGTCGCTGTAAGGACCAACGAGCAACTACCCCAATCTCGTTTTGGGTTGCTAACGCGCGAATCCAAACAGAACCAGCGATTCTACTCCTCTGCTGGCGACCGTGTTGCCAAGTACGAGGGCGTCCAAGATGCCAAGGTACGAAATTCCCTTGCACCCGGTCCGACTGAATAACGAGGATGCTTCTTCTGCGCGACATTGTCAACCTGTACACCATGTACACTCTGCGGTCGAGCCATACTTGCTAGCAAGTCCAATCCACAATACTAACATTGCGTATAGGGCAACTACGTCGTCTCCCTGATTGAGGGTGATGGTATTGGTCCCGAGATTGCCGAGTCCGTCAAGGACATCTTCTCTGCTGCCAAGGTCCGTCTACTCCGTTCATCCACACCAACAGCAGCAACAGCGTCCGCTAATGTGCGTTTATAGATTCCTATTGCTTGGGAGCCTGTCGATGTTACTCCTATTCTCAAGAATGGCAAGACCGCCATTCCCGACGCGGCCATTGACAGCATCAAGAAGAACAAAATTGCCCTCAAGGGACCTCTTGCTGTACGTACACGACAGTGACACTCGCGTGCATTTTTCTGTTCGCATCGAATCTAACAATTGCTCCCCATAGACCCCCATCGGCAAGGGCCACGTCTCCCTCAACCTCACCCTCCGCCGTACCTTCAACCTCTTCGCGAACCTCCGTCCCTGCCGCTCCGTTGCTGGCTTCAAGACTCCCTACGACGGTGTCGACACCGTCCTGATTCGTGAGAATACCGAGGGAGAATACTCCGGCATCGAGCATGTTGTCGTCGACGGTGTCGTCCAGAGCATCAAGCTTATCACCCGCAAGGCCTCGGAGCGCGTTCTTCGCTTCGCTTTCCAGCACGCCCAATCCATTGGCCGCACCAAGGTCCGCGTTGTTCACAAGGCCACCATCATGAAGATGTCCGACGGTCTCTTCCTCAACGTGGGTCGTGAGGTCGCCAAGGATTTCCCCGATATCGAGTTCGACGCCGAGCTTCTTGACAACACCTGCCTGAAGATGGTTACCGACCCCAACCCCTACAACGACAAGGTCCTCGTTATGCCCAACCTGTACGGTGACATTCTCTCTGACATGTGCGCCGGTCTGATCGGTGGCCTTGGCCTCACCCCCTCGGGTAACATTGGTGACGAGTGCTCCATCTTCGAGGCCGTCCACGGTTCCGCCCCTGATATCGCTGGCAAGGGTCTCGCCAACCCCACCGCTCTTCTCCTATCCTCCATCATGATGCTGCGTCACATGGGTCTCACCGACAAGGCCGCTCAGGTCGAGAAGGCTATTTTCGACACCATGGCCGAGGGCAAGGCTCTCACCGGTGATCTTGGCGGCAAGGCTAAGACTAGCGAATACGCCTCTGCTATCATTAGCAGACTGTAAATAGATGTGCGGATGATTCCCATGGTTGTTTGATTTCCCCGTTTTACATTATTTTCCCTTTGTTTATTGACGAGACCTTGCTTGTTGGATGCTGAATCTCTTTTACCGAAGAACAGTGTACTTCGGGACGAGGATAGCTCCAGCATGAACTTAGAGCGACCCCTGCAGGGGTTTGGGTAGATGATTTGACTCGTGTACCAATAGTGACGGCAGCAGGAGAAGGAATTTGGGTTGTAGAGCGAGCAGGAGCCGAAATCTCTGGAAGGTCGGACATGCATCTGACAGCAGAGCGCTGGACTTTGAATCAGAAAAAAAAGAATAAAGAACGCATTTGAATACCAACATTCGTCTCATGTCCCTCATGTACTACGAAATTAGGTGAAAATAGAAAGCTGCACAGCAGACGAAGAAACACAAATGAATAAAACATGGCAGCAACAAGCACCGCTCGGCCGCAGCTGGTACATTTTCCATGAGGCGCAATGAAATCCAACAACATAACTACAGGGCCCAAACAGGACTATTTCAGAACAAAAGAGCTCTCATCCAAAATTGCCGTAAACGGAGGGATAAATTCCCCCACGAAATCCCGTGATAACAAAACATTGCGACCCAACAAGAGCTGCGCGCCTGTACACAATTTATCCAAAAGCTACCTGCGCCAGGAATTACCATCTCGTGAAACCCAAAAACTGAAACACATCGCCCAAGAGAGACGAGAACGTTAAAAAAAGGGAAGGCAAAGCTACAAACGTCCGCTGCGAATCTCCTTTTCAAAGATTTTGATACCCCATACGTCATAAAACTGTATGGGGCCGACTGTCGTGTACCGCAGCCGCGATACGCCGTCGTGGACTTGCTCGTCGTCGCTGTCGTCGCTGTCGCCAAGTGCGTCAGAGGGGAACAGCGGGAGGCTACTGTCGCTGCCGTGGCCGGAGGACGGGTCGGAGGGAGGGTTAAATGGCCCCGTGATGGTGGGCTGGTCGGACCTGGAAAGTCGGTGCGGGCCAAACTCGTCATCCTCTGACTCGCCTGGCCGCACCACGCGGTCGACGCGGTCATCTTCCATGGCGATCCACTCGAGCTTCATCTCGGGATAGTGCGAGAGATTGTCGACCATGAAGCGCAGTGTTTCGCGAACAACCCACAAGCAAGTATCGTTGCTCTTAAAGTGCAGGACGTTGATGGCGCGAAGGTTGATCAATTCGTGAAAATACTGCATGAATACATGCTTTTATTTGACCTTGATTAGCACTTATCAAATGTTCCACCTCAGGAGAGGTACTTACCACCGCATTTCGATTCATGCTGATTGCCAGCTCCTCTAGCTGTCTTCCTTGATTGCAAATCATAACCATTGTCTTTTCGTTGGCATCCCAGTTGGCCTCCTTGGACTCGTCTTTGATCATCAGGCGCTTGAGGGTGTGTATGTGCTTCTTAAGCACAAGTCGACGGATCTGGTCAATGGTGACAGAGGCCCTCGGCGTGAAGCTAGCAGGAATGTGATCGACGCTGCGTTCCAGCAAAAACAGCTCGTCAAGTTCCTCCAGACGAGACACAAATGTTAAAAATGTATTTGAAACATTGTCCGTAAATATGCTGCGAAGAGGTAGCGGTTTCGAGGCATTTTCCTTGGCCAGGGCCGTCCAGATGGGTGCCTGGCTGCCAACATTGAGCAACGTTATTTCTTTCAGGGCTCCAAGATTCAGAGCTCGGCACAGCACTGAAGCCTTGGTGGGAAGGAGATCAATTTTCAACACTTCGAGGGACAAGCCTCTGGTGCTGCGAATGTAGTCATCCATCTGAGTTTCTGTACTCGTAGCAGCTTTCCCCCCAAACATACCCCGAGAAGAGCTAGCATCGTCACAACGACGTCTGGAAAGATCTTCCACGGACAAAAAATGGGTAGTTCGAGAAGACGAAGGCTCACCAGAGGCAAGACCATCTCTGGGGCCGGCTGTGTTACGCAGCTGGGCGGTATCCAGAGACGTTTCTCCACCTGGGTCGTTATTTTTGATGCTGAAATCTGCCAGTGGCACATCTCCTAGCTTTGGCCGTGTTGGGAGAGTGTTTGAAGTCTCCGCTGGCACCTCTGTACCAGAATTTCCAACAGTCTCGAGATTCGCGGCAGCAGAAGTGGACGCGTGTTGTGCTTGGCTATCCTCTTCGCCAGTTGCCCGATTATCTGCCTCTTGGTTTTGCTTCCAGCTTGGAATCTCTCCGGATTCGACGTATTTCCGAGCAGCGTGTTCTATCGTATTCAGTATTTCTTGGTGAGTTGCCGAAAACTCTTTTGTGCCGTTCAGGAGAGTTAGTAATTTGGTTGAAATGCCTGTGAGAGAGGAGATAAACTCTTGCCCTGGCGCTACAGCAGGAGCTTTATCAGTCGTAGGTTCCCCTGCTTTGGTATTAGACGCGTCTAGCTTCATCTGAGGCCTCTTCTGGAGACTGGGCTCAACACCGAGCATTTTGCCAAGAAGAAGTTCCTGCCTTTTCCATTCCTCCTGAGCTCTGAAATTTCGGACGGGCTCAGGCGGCCCAAAATTCGGGTGCTGGGCGTTCAAGGCATCGGGAAAATCTTCGTCTGTAGATTCCTCAGCGTCCGACTCATGCGAAGCTCTCCTAGCTTGTGAGGCCAAAGCTCGGGATAAAGACAGCTTGAGCTCTGTCAAGGTCGAATGCGAGTGCTTGACAGAATCTGCTATCTCTGTTACGAGGTTCATGTCATCAATGTCCAGAACAGCCAAGTATGTTAGGTTTCTGAAGCCAGAGAGTCTCGCAGCCTCTTGAGGTTGCTTTGGAACGCGGTTCTTGGACACGGACCGGGATCGTGTATGGGGTTGGTTCTGCGAGACATGGTGTGAGATGGGATGCGCAGAGGCCATAGACGACTGAATAGGCTGGAAAGCTGTGCTAGACCAGTGCGAATGACCATAGACCGGGCTGGGTGGGGAATGGTGCTGATGGAAGCTGATTGGAAGAGGCGGCGGTCTGGAGTAATACGAGTCGCCGGCCTGCATCCGGATATGCAGGGCGCGAAGCGACTTGAGCTCTCGTAGTCGTCTATAGACTGTGCGACTAAGCTCGATTCGCACATTCCATCTATAACGTCATCCTCTGTCAAAATTTGCATATAACAGGAGAGAGGACCCCATAGACATACCGAAAGGATTCGAGAAAGTGTGCTTTTTTGAGAGTCAGAAAGAGCAGAGTATTGAAAAACTTGCCACAGCTAGACGAGTATAGATACGGTTGGTAGGAGCGTTCGCCCTTGAGACCAGAACTCAACGTATCCATAGAGAGGTCTCGTAGATGTCTGGCGTAATCATACTCGCTTGTAGTAAAGGTGTCGAGACCACCGGCGAGACCGTCCACGGGAGAACCGAAGCTAAGGTCGTCATCGTCGGGGAAGATGATGTGAAAGTCGCGGTATAGGATAGCAGAAGCAAGATGATGAAAATGTTTGGAGACAAGGGCGACGCAGATGAGATGGCTTTGAGAGCACTAGCCAGATGGATTTGAGCTTCGGCTTGGTGGGACACGGGCAGTATGCGACTTACATAGGAGAGAATGTCGCGCTGAGTCTCGATGGGTAAGTCGGTAATACGGAAGACCGAGCCGGTCGCGGCAGCAGAAGCCTCGTCGCCGCCAGCAGACATGATGACTGGCGACGGGTAGGTACAGATTGTCTTCTAACGGGCCCGGGGTCAACCTAAGGAAGACCCAGGCGGGGTGGAGAGTTGCGGCGGGGTTGGAGAAGCAACTAGTCGAGGAGAAACAAGACGGAGATGAAGTCGTCGCAAAAGACACGGGTCAGTCGAAGAGCCTGTGATGAAAAGGCAAATTGGGAGGGACGACGACGAGGCTATCGGCTGCTGGATGGTAGGGGATAGGGAAGCGTGGTGATGATGATGGAAGTTGGATGGGTTGGCCGAAGCGCCCGGCTGGGAGCGGCGACTGAAGCCCTAGGCTGTCGTTGACAGGACGTTACCCAGGGTCTGGTGAGGAACTAGCAGGGGGTACTTTGGGGCGAGACGCAGTTTGGCGGGGTAAAGAGCGGGTATCTGTCTGCAACTCAAGTAATGATTGGGAGCAGCTAGTTAGGTACCTGTCGATACCAGGTACGAATTACACCTGTCGGGCTTGTTATGCGCCTCGTAGCTACTGATTTTATTTTATTTTGTTGACTGATTGTCAGAGTTCTTCTCCGTGCTTGTGAGCGTCTTGATATCTCTCTTGTGTCGCCATGCTTCCCAATATATTATCTTGGGCTTGTGTACCAGTTTTCGTGATGGCTTCAGCTGCAGCGTACCGGCACAGGTTAGCCGAATGCATACCTAGTATTAGGAGGTAAGTAGGTACCTTGTACCAGCTGGCTCAACGGGTCAAGCATTGTGCTACCAAAGCCACGCACATCAGAGAGTGCATTCGTGCATCGTGAAGAATGTCGCTGATGTTGAGCCTGTACTGCCTGGATTCGGTGGCTAGCCCCGAGCTGGTGTCTACTCACTCTACTGGCGTAGCAGCTCATCTGCACGTGCTGTGTCAAAGAGGGGCGTGCATTAAAAATTTAGAACTTTTTCATGTATTGAGGCTGCTAACGTTAGAATCCTAGAATCCTCTTGACAACCCTAGTACCTACCTTAGGTAAGGACCTCCCTCAATAGGTACCAGGTAGGTTTAGTGCTCGCCGAAATGTTTGCGTAGTTGGAGCATTTGTTCATTCACTAATATTAGCTCCATCTCCAGTCACCTTTCATTTATTCTCTCACTCTGCTCGCTGTGTCGAAACATCCAGCCACTACCAACAGCTCTAGTTTTGCACAGCCCCCCATGCCCAGCACGACAACAAGCTCTTAGCGTTGGCCGCTTCGCCACTCTCATCAGCCACCTCCGTGACTTGGTGGTTCCTTAGCCTGATGCTCAGGTCTCGACAGTCATTTTATTATCGCAATCGAGGCGCGCGCCATGGCCGAAACGGAGGAGCCCCAATACACTACGCTGGCGGAGAGAATTGCTGCGCTCAACAAGAACAAGACATTTGCCGCCAACGGGCCACCTGCAAAGTCTGCCAGGCGTGCACCGCCGCCTCCTCCAAGTCGCACACAAACAGGCCTTGACGAGGACAGGCCTGCAACACCATCAGTCCCAGCCCGGCCATCCAAGAGCAATCCTCCTCCTCTACCTCGGAGAGACACCCAAACCTCACTCAACAGCCAAGATGCGACTCGCCCACCTTTACCGTCGAGAAAGTCATCTACGCAACAGCCCCCCGCTCTGCCGCAGCGTCAGGCCTCTACCCAACCAAATGGCTTGTTGAATGTTCGCCGCGATTCCGCCTCGTCTGAGGTGTCGCAAAACTCAACTAGGTCGACCAAGTCAACTGGTCACAGTACCTGGTCCACCACCAGTCAAAGCTCTGCTGCTTCGGCACCCAGGAAACTCCCGCCAGCCCAACCTCAGCAGTCACAAAATCCTGCTACAGCACCAAGTCTACCGCCAAGGTTGCCGGCCAGAGGAAACAAGCAAGATGCGATCCCAACAAGGCCCCGCATCATGGGTTTTGGATCCTCTCAGGCTCCAAAGCCAACCGCCAATGGACAAAATGCCGCGCAGGATACTAGCAGTACTCGAAAAGGTTCTGACGAACCGCCACCTGTTCCGGCTACTACTCGCCCTTCGGTAGCCCAGATAAATGAAGCAACGACTCGAACAGCTCCCCCTATACCAAAGTTGAACAATTGCTTCGCCTGCCGAGACTGGAGCGCACCCGACGCTGTGGCGGCGCAATACCCAAGACAGTCGATTCCTCGCGGAGACCCAGTACAATATTTAGCCCACAATTTGTGCTCGCCGTTCCCGTCATATAGCGACAAGGCCCGGGCCATTTTCACCTGGTGTCATCATAATATTGCGTACGACACCGGGGCTTTCTTTGCTAACAACGTTCAGCATCAAACAGGAGAATCTACCATCCTTAGTGGTCTTGCTGTCTGTTCGGGCTATGCGGAGACCTACAAAGCTATCGCCAATCAAGCCGGGCTCGAATGTGATGTCGTAGGAGGTCACGGTAAAGGATTTGGCTACACCCCGCTCAAGGATGGTGAGCCCGTTCCTCGGGCTAACCCCAGCGGCCATGCGTGGAATGCCGTTAGGATTGACGGAGGGGGGTGGAAACTTATCGATGCCTGTTGGGGTGCTGGCAATGTAGATGGTGCAACGCAAAGCTTCAACAAGGTTTTTGAACCTCTCCATTTCAATCAGACCAACGAGCAGTTTGGTGCCCGACACTTTCCCGAAAAGCCGAAATTCCAGTACCGCGAAGACAGTCGTACCGTTAGCTGGGAAGAGTACTATAAAGGCCGCGCAGATGGCGAACCGGTCACTATATTCTCGAATGTTAGCCAGGAAGGCATCAGCCAAACTAGTATGGAGCCAGCAAACAAGCATATCCAAGTCTACAGCGGCCAGGTCGTTCGATTTCAATTTTCCAAAATTTGCCCGCATTGGAAGTCGGAAACAAACGGCCAAGGCAAACCACCGCTGTTTGTTCTCAACATGCATGGCCTCGACGGCCGCAAGGACGACATGGTGCCTATCGAGACCGACGGATATTGGCACTGGCTTGACGTCAATGCTCGAGATCTCGGAGCACCTGGTCAAAAGGTTGAAGTGGTGCAAATCACTTCTGTTGATCACAAGGATGCTCGCGGCCTAACTGCACGCGACTTTTTGGCCGCCAAGGGCAAGAAAGCTATGGCGTTTTCATTCTTGACGCAGTGGGTACTTCAGTAATTGCCTACAGTATTTTGTTGGCTTCGCTATTGATTTGTCTGGCAATCAAGTTTTTGCGCCGCATCTTCCTGTGATTTTTGGGGTATTGAATTTTTCACGTCTATCGGGCCACGACACCGTACCTTGTGTACCTTTGGAAGCGTTTATGAATACGCATCGGCATACCTTTCATTGTTGGTCTAGTCTACTCAGCTTCGTCACTTACCACGTAGCCTGCAGATCTTATGCCGCTTTCACGATGGAGACACAGCATGAATGTAAGGGCAAATACTTATATTCTATTATATGCAATATAAACAAGATATGCTACATTGATGTAGTAGCAGGTATCATTCAAGTACAGTGTTGGTTCTCTTCATTAATTTGGAGATTTACTAGGCTTTAACTGGCCAACGCTCCCTCATCCACTTGCCGTAGCGGAAGATGAGGAACGGGACGGGCACGAAAGCAAGCGAAATGAAGCCCAGAAGCGATGTACCCCATCCGAGGCCGAGGCTGGCGTACATGGCCGGCGCAGCCAAGGGCAAGAAGGCACCAATAGTGCAGCGGATGACAGCGAAGCCGGCCAAGGCACTGGCGGCGTACTCGGGGAAGGCGTCGATGATGTATGCGTTGGCCGGGGTCCAGACGCCAATGATGCCTGCGGAAAATGGAATGATGCCAATGACGGGCACGATCCAGTGGGCATGCTTATCCGCCGCCCAGCCGTACCAAAAGAAGCTGATGGGAATGAGCATGGCAAAGTAGGTGCAGTAGGGGATTCGCATCTCGGGCTCGTAGATGCCATTGTTGGCTCTGGTCATGCGCACAACGGTGCGGTCCGAGACCATGGCGAAGATGGTGATGGAGATGATGTAGCCAACCATGAGAGAAAAGTACGGCAGACCCGAGACGCCGAGAGACCAGCCGTAGTTGCCGCCAAAGACGGTGGGCATAGTGTTGAAGAGGAGGTAGAGGCAGCCGTAGTTGAAGGCAATGTAGACGGAGATGCTGAAGAGGATGGCGGAGCGGAAGAGCATCTTGATGGGGCGGGTGAGGCCGAGGAGCAGGATCTGGCGCTTGGTCATGATGGGCTGATCCGGGTCGACGTAGCAGCTGCGAAGCTCTGGGCGGGCGAGCTCTTTGCGCAACCTTTCCGTCTTGATGCGTATTAGCACGCGGGCATTGGTTTCCTTGTTGCCAAACAGCATGCAGGCGACGACGAGCATGCCGGGGATGAAGGAGATCCAGTTGGTCCAGCGCCAGCCAATCGTCTCGGCGACGAAGCCGCCGACGACGGGCGCGAGCGAGGGGCCGAGGATGGGCCCCATCATCCAGACGGTGGTGGCCTTGCCGCGCTGGCTGATGGGGAAGAGGTCCGAGATGATGGCGCCGCCAACGGTCTGGCAGGCGGAGCCCCCAACGCCGCACATGAAGCGGAAGAAGATGAGGGCGTCAATGGAGGGGGCGAGCGCGCAGCCAATGAGCCACAGGCAAAATACGAGGTTGGAGGCCAGCATGACGACGTTGCGGCCGTACAGCTCCGACAGCGGCGACAGCACCAGCGGGCCGACGGCGTAGCCGAGCAGGAAGATGCTCACGGGCATGGCGGCGAGGGTCGCGCTGCTGACGTGGAACTCGGCGCGGAGCTGGCCGAGCGCGGGCGCGAGAATGGACGAGGACCACGGTGTCATGAAGGTGATGGCGGATAGCAGCGCAATCATGAGCCACTTGCGGAACGGCGTAAAGTTGAGGGGCATGGCGGGGTCGTCCTGGCTGTCCCAGCCGACGACGCCGCGGTCAATGTCCATGAGAGGCAGCACCGGCGGCGGCAGCGACTCCTTGTTGGTCTTGCGCCGCGACAGCCTACTCAGGACGCTCCGCCGGCTGACGTTGGTGGCGGTCTTTTCCACGTCATGGCCAAGCGTGGTTCCGTACTACACGGGGGGTGGACGGGTTAGCCATGGTAGCAATCGCGGTGGACGAGAAACAGGGCGATCCAACATACCCTTGCCGCTTCGAGGTCGTTGTCGTCGTCGTATCCATGTATCAGTGAGGGGTGAGCGTCGACGACTGTAGATGTTTCTGTTTCGTCGCCTGAGTGGGAGTGGTTTTGATCCGGTGCGAGGACCGTCGGCTCATTTTCCACCTTGTTGGCCATGTTGGGCGGAAAGCAGCCTCGTGGGAAGATTTTACAAGTCGTTGCGTATAGCTTGTAAGCTGGTGGGGGCCGGGGAAGTTGCTTCAACTCGCTTGCCCGCCTCGAAGATGGAGTACTTCAAAGCCCTGCTGTAGAGAAGAACCCCCACATCACATATATGCTAGAGGGAAGAACAGAAGTAGAAAAATATCCAGGGGGCATGGGGATGTAGTTAACTGTGACATGAATGGGGACAGTGGGAGCTACCCATTGCATGCCCTTCGGCGTGGCCATGTCCGTTGGTGTCCCTATCACCTATATCCGGCCGCTGTGGAGCATCTTCGCTGTTTCGGTCTTTCGCAAACTTGCTGGCCAGTTAGATCAGATGAAGGGCGCCATCTTGGACCTGGGCTTGGCCACCCGCCCCAGGTTTCGGAACACGGTTCTGGCCTAGTTACGCCCTTTGCTCCAAATTCAGGTCCGGGTGGCTTACGCCCATTGACAAGAGGGCAAAGTTTCCATCCTGTCCGTAATCATTTTGGTAGTTGCGGGGATACGGACATGGGCCATGGGCGCAGGCGTGCGCTCAATATGAACAGCTAGGTATGTACCAATGCTCAAGGCCGCTGCCCGAAACGGCAAACCAATCGGCCGGGGGCTTTCGGCCGAGGCAAACCACAGGCAATTGCCGATGCCGCTATTTCTCCATTCTCTTGACCAGATCCATAGGTAGATAGGGTAGATAGGTAGGTACTCTCCACTCCGCCAGTCTCTTCCTTTTACCACATCTTTCGTATTCTCCGCTCCATAGCGGCACCGTTGCACCCGTTGTGGTTGAAGGAAAGAAATGAGACAACGGGATGTGATAGTCTTAGTTTGTCGTTTGCAAGACGTCTCGTCTCAACTGCGCGTGCGTTCCGAGTCGATCAAGCCTCGCCGTAGACAAAAAGGCCGTGCAAGTGTTGCCTTTTCTCGTCGGGACCCGCCAAGGCGTCGGCTGATCCAAGACAGTGGGAGATGACAATCATCGTGGAGAAATTTGGTTTGAGAAACTCTGTTTTGATTCCGCGGCGTCCCAAGTGGGCAACGGCTGTTCCCTTCTAGAGACAGAACAATCACAGTGAATAAGTGAATCCGCCAAGACATTTTCCCAGCTGCCAAGATGGAATCAGCGATAATTGCGGATGGATGGCACATCTCAGTGAAAGGCTTGCAAAATAATTGAAACAATTCTCAGGGCAAGTGACTAGTACACGAGACATTGAGAAAGTGAGTACGTCATACTGCAGCTGTCACCTCCAAAATGGCCAGGTCACACCGGGACAACCAACGGTGCCAGAAACAAATTGATTGGTGCAAGTCACTGCGCGAAAGAAAGAAAAAAAATAAAAAGTAAAAAAGTAAGAAATTCGTCATTTGAAGGTATGCATGCAAAAAATGAGCTAGCCGCTTCGTCTCAATCAGGTACTAAGGTTAGTAGAAAGCTGCTACGCACGACCTTGGTGGTTGGTGAGCTCAAGGTTCCTTCAGTAATATTTGATATTGTGAAATGGAAATCAGAGGTTTTTTCCACTTTGAAAAGCTACCATGCAACATACGGCTTTCGTTATCATGGCTCGATGGCTCGAGGCCGCCACGTACACAAGCTGCAAGAACGTCGTCCATCATGAGAGGAAATCAATCACATGGCTTCCACGTCATGGAGGAAACATCCCAATTCACCTTGCATAACGGCATTCGCTGCTTTTATCTATGGGAGACGATTCACTGTCAGTGTACGTAAGCCGACTGGCTACTATTCCAAAACGTACAAACCGTCACCAGGCTTGCTTGACACATCTCAGTGACCCTCTTTTTTTTCCATTCTCCCTTGAAGCCACGACATCCAATTCCAGCCATTTCACCAGCCTGTCACCTCCTTCCACCGTCGCCGGCGCCGGAAAACAATCTGCGGCACACCTCTTTTACTCATCAAGTCCTTTACTCTCATTTATCTTCAGGAGCTTCCATTCATCATTCATAGCCACTTCTTTCCCCTCCGCTCAAGTTCGCGCCGCCGCGCAGCCGCCGTTTGTCGATGCGCCGCTACCAAACCTAAACGAACGACGAAGATAACGCGCCGAGCCAATCGAGATTATCCCTACAAATTATTCTTTACACGTTTCCCTTCTTCCCAGCAAGTCTCAGAGGAGCAAAAACATCGCACAGCAGCAGCAGAAGTCGCAGCCATGGTCGTGCATGGCTCGTCGGGGACGACGTCGCTCTCACGCGGCGAGACCCTGACGCTCCTGACGGTCGCGGGCGCCTCGCTCGCCGTGCTGGCCAACACGTTCCACGGGGACGGCGAGCCGCTCGTCGCGTCGCTCGCACTCTCCTTGGCCGCCTTTGCACTCTGCTACGCCATGATTCGCTGGCTGGGGCCGACGTTTGTCGCGGCCGGCTTCCGCGGCCGCGACCTCCTCAAGCCTCGCCGGCCTGAGCTGCCCGAGTGCATGGGCGCCGTCTGCGCCGCCGTCTATCTCCTGACCGTCATCATCTTCATCCCCTTTCCCTTTTACAAGGACATTGTCGCCGCCACGAGCGGCGGCGGCAACCGCGACGTCGTCCTCAAGGCCGAGCATGTCAACGAGGGCCGCTTCCTCCACCGCTTCCCGCACAGCAAGGTAAGTGTTTTCTTTATGCCCAGAGGAGAGAAAAAGACAATGGGAAACGAGTAGTTCGCGAAACGACGCCCAGACTGACAAACACCGTTTTGCGCGATTCTAGCTTGCTTCGTATCTCGGCGCCATCATCTCTCTGCAGACTATCGCCCTGCTCGGCATCGGCGACGACCTCTTCGACATTCGCTGGCGTCACAAGTGGTGGATCCCCGGCCTGGCGTCCATTCCCATCCTCGTCGTCTACTTTGTCGATTTTGACGTGACGAGCATCGTCATCCCTGTGCAGCTGCAACCCTTCCTCGGTGAGCTCTTCGACGTCGGCCCGCTGTACTACGTCTACATGGCCTGCATCGCCATGTTTTGCCCCCAGAGCATCAACATGCTCGCGGGCATCAACGGCATCGAAGTCTCTCAGTGCGTCGTCGTCGCCCTCCTCCTCGCCTTCAACGACGTTCTCTACCTCGCCACCCCCTACCCGCATCCGGCCACCGACTCTCACCTTTTCTCGCTCTACTTCCTGCTGCCCTGGATCGGCGTCTCCGCCGCCCTCCTCTGCCACAACTGGTACCCCGCCCGCGTTTTCGTCGGCGACACCTACTGCTACTTCTCTGGCATGGTCTTTGCCGTCGTCGGCATCCTCGGTCACTTCTCCAAGACACTCGGCCTTCTGCTCGTACCGCAATTCTTCAACTTTGCCTACTCGACGCCCCAGATCTTCGGTCTCATCCCCTGCCCACGCCACCGCATGCCCCGCTTCAACGCCCGCACAGGGCTGCTCGAGCCCTCTATTACCCCCTGGTCCGCCGACCGCCAACCGCACCCGATCATTGCCTTGGGGCTCCGCCTGCTCGCTCAATTTCGCCTCCTCAAGATCGTCATCGACGATGAGGGCCGCTTCGTCGAGACGAGCAACTTTACCCTACTGAATCTGTGGCTCGTCTGGCGCGGGCCGCTGCGCGAAGACCGTCTCGCCACCGAGATCACATTTCTGCAGCTCGGGCTTGGCCTCTTTGGTCTTTTCGCCCGACACAGACTCGCTCTGCTAGTCTTTAAGGAAGATAATTGGAGTACGGTACAGCATTAGAAACAGCTGAAATGAAGCAAATCAACACGATAACATGTAGAGGTGTTAGATAGTGCATGCAGAAGCAAGACTTGCTGAGCATTCTATGCAGTTCATAGAGTCACATAATGATACCCGCAAAATGATCATGATTTTGAATATTCTTGAATTCATTTCAAAAAAAAAAGACAGCTGCCTTCACATAGCCATTGCTTGCCGCCGCATCTGCCAACACATGGAGAGGTATCATCAAGCCCAGTCCGAAACAAGTGTGCCTATAAATACAACCAAAATAGAAAAAAAAAAAACGACCGGCCCAGAGTAGGCATTCAATCCACGGCGATGCCGGGCCTCCCATCTCCTATAAAACACACACCCCTCCGTTTTGAAAAATCCAGATAAAAAAGACAAGAAAGAAGCATAACAATCGAATGATTGGCCCGGACCCTTGAGCTCGTCATTGGTCCTTCGCCGCACATTCAATACTCTGTCTGTATAGAGAAGAGCCTCTCCAGTCAAGCGCCAAAAACAAAAGCATCCTTCCATTTTGCCTCCTAAACGCCTCAAGCAGTGGTATAATCCGCAAAGGGTTGTAACCAGCAATCGCATCTTCATCATGCAGCAGCAAAGTTGCTTTCCACATCATATATACACCAACCACAAATTCATACACTTTCTAGACGACACCGTTCGAGCTCGCGTTTGGTAAGGATTGGCCTTCATCCATTGTCTCGATGCCTTGGGGCTCTGTAGTCATTTCAACTTTGATATCCTCTGGGCTCGAAAGAGCCGACCTGAGAGATCCAGGCCCGCTGGAGTCCTTGGTGCTACCCTTCTTCATCCGGCTCTTAGTGTAATCGCTTAAACTAAGCTTCTTCTTAACAGGACTTTGCTTAGCGATGGCACTGTTGAATGCTAATTGCTGGAAGGGGCTGGGCATGCCATTGATTGCGAAAGACGACAGTGCCGCCGAGTTAGGTGCTGACAAGGGAGTCGTACCCATAGGTGCCGACAGTCCGCTACTATCAAACGTCGGAACTGGCGGCATCTGCACGCGCAAGTCGGGCGTCTTGATCTTGCTAGCCGTGTCAGCCGTAGCAGCCGTGCCGTTCACACCCTCTGGCGGTAGGGCGGGGGCGTCCAGCATGGTTCTATCTGACTGGGGAGGTTCTTCTTGTGTGTCAGCTTTGAAATCGGACTCTGCGGAGTCATTGATGGGAGGGTCGATTTCCATTGCATTTTTCGGGGAGCTATCAGTGATTTTCGGCTTTTGCTCCGCGGTGTCCTCAGCCTTGATGCGATACCGATTGTTAAGTAGTCGACGGGATAGCGAGATGATCTTCTTCTTTGGCGCTGGCAATCGAGTGGGCTCGCTGAACCACTCGCCTTCAACCGGATCCGTTTGAACTCCTACGTCACAGTATGACGGTCGAGAACCGGAAGACGATTGGCGAGGCCGTTGTACCAATGTGGGACTCTTGAATGAGTCCGAGGCGAGGTTGGGGGATAAAGAGCTGGCAGGCGATCCAGTCTTGCTCCTCGAGGTTCCTGCGTCGACATAGCCGCCGGATACCGAGGAGGCGGAGCGAGGCTTCGACTTTGAGGAGGATGTGCCATCAGATATACGCTTCTTTTTTCGTGGTGGAGGTTGCTGTTCCATACGGCGAAATGAGTCCTCTACCATGGCAACTTTGCGCTTGTCGCGATCCGTAGGCTCCGTGAGTATTCCAAGCTGATCAAAGGACCCTTGTCGCACTGGTGTTGGGTCCCGGCTGGCAGGCTTGCTGGTCAAGGAAAGTGTTTCGAATCTCGCGTGGTTATCAGCCATTTCGTCGCCATGGCCCTCACTGGCAGCGCGACTGTTGGTGGCGTGGCCAGTGCTGGTTGGGGATACGGTATGATTGCGAGACTTTCGAGACTTTTTCTTGTTTGGACGGCCATGGCCGCGGACATGGAAGTAGTGTCTATGAAAGCGGGCGAATGCGCAGTTGTTTTCGAGATCGCAGGCGCAGCCGCCGTATTCCGAGAGAATGCGGTCGATCCAATTGGAGATGGCGATGTATTCCGACTCTTCTAATTCTGTTTCATTTTGTGTCGCGCTCTCATCGTCGCTCAATCCCAGGAGGTGGAGCCATCTTGCACAGACGCTCTTTTCCAGCCGAAAGTCCCATGGCAATGTGATTTGTTCATTGGCAGCAATGTAGCGGTCGCTAACGAGCCAAAAGTGATATTCTGAACCCCCAGACAAGTATGTATCGAGTTGAGCGTTGGGCTTGCAGCTGCGGCGCACATAACGCGCAAGAGAGCCTTCTTTTCTCGTGTCAATGTAGAGCGGCAGGACCGGGTGGAAGAAGACGAAAGGGAGTGGCGATGATAAATCAGCCCAGAGGTTCTCCAGGTTGGCACAATAGTCTTTTTGGAAGCCAATCTCGCCGTTAAGTTCTATCAGAGGCACATCCTTTTCTATGGGCGCAGTGGACTTGACGGAACGCCATCGCAGCGTTGTGCCTTGCTCCAAGGAGCGAGTGGCGTCTTTGACTTCGAGCTTTGGTCTCTTGTCATTGGAATTGGCCGGCTCATCTTGAAAGACATCGGCATGGGTACGGCCAACCTCTTGCTTCATGACGTCGGGCTCTCGCAACCAGCGCGACAGAGCAGTGGGGATGGCCAGACTGGCAAAGGCATTATTATGAGTATCGGGTACGTCGTGTTCATTGTAGAGAGAATAGAATCCGGCGGAGTAGTGATGGATTTGGAAGTCGTCCGGGAGGTCGGGAGGAGTTGTGGCAGGACTGGGAGGGTGTGCGGGATTAGAGGGAGGGTTGGCAAAGGAGGGGCTGCGCTTTGACGGCTGTGAGCTGACAGATTGTGATGTCTTGTGAGAAGGTTTTGATTTTTTGGCTTGGTTGTCGACGGCCGGGTTTGGTTGTTTGCTGTCCTCGAGTGTGCCGTTTGGTGCGTTCAAGGACAACTCAGAGGGTTTTGGTCGCCTCTTGCCGTTCTTGGTCGAGGGTGGTCTCTTGGCCTTCTTTTCGGGCGAATCCTCTTCTTGCACGGTGACATGTTTTAATCTTAGGGTTCGTTCGATGGCTTTTTGGCGATTAAGTGGGCGAGGCTTGCACTCTGCACACGAGTGGGCAAAGTCCTCGCGGATAGCCTCGTCCCTGTTGTCGGGGTAAAAGCAGTCAATGTGCTGCCATGTGTCGCAAGTATCGCAGTAGATGGTGTTTCCGTCATCGTCAGAAAAGTTGCAGATACACTTGATGGTGTACGGTTCTTCCTCGCCAATCGCAGCGCTGGGATCTGCGTCCTCCTTGGCAAGGGGGACAATAGCGGGAGAGGTGAGGGAGGTCTGACTAGGAGCCGCGACTTGCGTTGGCAGCGGCACAGGGTTTTCGGTCATAATCTGGGAGTCGTTCGAAGAAAGGATAGGTCGGGGAGATTGTGTGAGGGACGTTATTCGTCAATCGAATTACGCTCGCGGTCTTGACAGCATGGCGACGCCTGGGTAGACGCGTGCCAAAGGGTCGGTCGCTTCGAGATTCGGCCGCAGGTTCGGGGGGATTGTGGAAATTGCCAGTCAAGTCGGGGTTGGGTTGACCAGTTTGTCGACGCAGCTCGTGGTGGCGAGAGAGAAGGGGGCGACCCGATTCGTATCGTTGGCAGCAGCCAGAAGAGCAGAAGGATCGCGCCGCGCTCTTGGGAAAAAATAAAGCGATCGACCAGTTCAGAAGGTCAAAGCGAGCGCCAAAAGAGAATCATGCAACGCGTCCAGCGAGTTTGTGGCGGTAGGCGACAGCCGAACAACAAGGCAAAACTCGGCAACGAAGCGCTACGAGCGCGGGAGCGAGGAAAGAGAATTCGAGACGAGGGAGGCGGTTGTCGCAAGAGTATAAGAACAAAGGGAAAACGGATACACAGGGTCGTTGTAGAGAAATCTGAGAGAGAGGAAGACGAATGCGATTGTGCGAGGTAATAATAACGAGGGAGAGAGGAGGGTGTCGAGAAAAAGTCGTGATGAGGACGAGGGTAGGAAATGGGAACGGGGAGGACGGCCGGGGAGGAGCGACAGGAAAGCGCAGAACAAGCCGACCTGGTCGCTTTTGCTACTACAAACTAACCACTTTGCCAATCCCACCAGCCAAAAGAGCGGCGCCCAATGAATGGCGCGCCGGGGTGGGTACCTGGGTACCTCACACCACTAGACACTAGGAGGACAGTGGGTTTGTTTTTGCTAAGGTATTTTGCCGTTGGACGGTAAAAAAAAAATGTATTGGGAAACAGGCGGCGACGAGGCAACACGGCAAGAGACTCCATCCAGCTGCCAGCTGGTGGTAGCAGCCGTTGCGGCGGCGGTGGCGGTGGTAGTGGTGGTGCACTGCTGGGTCGCCGCGCGCAGGACCATAACTGGCCCAGGATCCGACGGTTTTGGCCCATTTCTTGCTCTTTTTTTGCACTGTTCAGCACTGATGATGGCGTGGGCGGGCGGGTTGCGCAGTGCCGCCCTCACGCCCGTGTGCAGCATTGCGAGTACGGTGCTGTGCTTGTTCCAGCAGGCAAGGACCCCCTCCTGAGCGGGTCAGCACCGTGCAAGGCAGTCTCTGGTTTGCTGGAACGCCAAAACCAAAGACCGCGCTAGACCTAACATCGAATGGGCGGTGGGAATCCGTGGCAGGTCTCCGTATCATGTGCTATCTCACCTCGATTTTTGTCTACCTATGTACTGACAGTACATACCTACTCTACTGGAAGTTAACTAGTCCGGCCGCGTGCGTGTGCCTGGGTGTGGCGGAGGCGGAGGCGTGTGTGTGTTATGGCCTCAGGCTACAACTTTCAAACTGTCGTCCCGCTCCCTGCACGCCGCTGCACCCTGCACGTCTCGGCGCGTTGATGCACTCTGTCCCCTCCCTTCCTTGTCTCCCTCTTTTCTCCCCTCTTGCCCTCCAAGCCCTCCAAGTCCTCCAAGCCCTCTTGCCCTCCTACCCTAACAACTATTTGCCGACTTGAACCCGAATTGAGGCAGACTCTGACGCAGCTTCAGCTCGCCGCTGGGCCCAACAACACCCTGTTCTGGAGACCCGATGTTGTCTTCTTCCAGCAGACTTGCCTTGTCATGAACAACTTTCCAGGCGCGCCACACCTAGCGAATGCAGAGACACCGCTGGCCCGGATCAGGAAGCCAGTGAAATTGCGCTGCGCTCCCCACCAGCGCCTCCAGCCTAACTAGCCCAGCCCAGACCCTCGTCATGTTTGATGTGCGCTGGCGAAGAGCAAGTTGCGTCGAGTCGAGTCGCATCCTCCCTCTCCGTTACCTTATTAGTCGACAACACTTTTTCACTTCGTCATCTGTCAAATCCGTCCTCTTTCGAATCGTACGGACTTATGGTCGATGCTATTTCGCCACCTGCATCACAACTCACTCGGTCAATCGGCACGCCTCCACTACACACGCGCGCTGCAAAGAAGAATCGCCAGTCCCCAGTCCGCCCACCGGATTGTTTTCATTTATTCTTCAGCTTGTTTGTTTTCATGTTGCGACAGCGTTGCCTCGACCGCTCCGCGCGCTAGCCTTGCATGGGCCTGGCACACGGGGGTGTCGGTGGCAGCAAGCGGGGTGCTAATTGATGTAATGTGCTAATCTGCTCCTGAGGTACTAATATCCATGATGACACAGCCACGCCACACTCCCACTGGCGCCCACCGTCGCCGTCGCGCTGCCCTCATCTTTCGTCTTCTTTTCTCCCCGCCGACCCTCGTCCGTCCGTCCATCGCAGCCTTGCCGCAGAACATGACAAACCACGAATTCATAAGCAGGCCTCTGATTCATCTCCCCTTCACGTAGAAAAAGGGTGAAGCACGTATCGAAGCCGACTACGAACCCCGAGAATCTGCTCCGGTCGACTTGCTACGCGACACTGGCGAGCTGTTGTTTCTGACCACCTCGAGTGTGATTCTCGACCACAACTAGTGCCACGGGTGCCAAATTTAGCATGTCCTCGCCGCATTTATTTCGTTTCCAACATCGTGTCTGTAGATGGAATCGAATAGTCATCGCCTCTGCTGTGACCGCCAACCACAAAAGGCTGTCGAAGCTTCAGACCCCAGACCGAGAGGCAGACTCTGTAGACTAGCTACAGCTTTTGGCGGGAGGAGGTGGGCAGCGGGGATGGCCTCGCCTTTTCGCCAGCACTCCTTCCGTTTTGTTTGCAAGATACATACGCGCCGTTCTCGCCAATATTGTACTGATACTCCAAGTCAGCAGCGAAGCGCAGTCCCCGTTTCGCTACACTAATACATATCAGCTTCGGCTTACGCCCAGCAAGCTCCTCGTTCCATATCTTGCTCTTGCCTTTGTTGCACCTCATTGGAATCATCCAAAATCATACTCTTCGTGACCCTCCGTTCATCGTCTTGGCACTCTCAGTTTAAAAATGCGTTCCACTAGACAGTATTGGTTTCGCACATTTTCCCCTAGCTGTCATGTTCAGGGCGTGACGCAACATTTATCCAACAAACTGATCCTCGAAATGTCTGGCTCCAGCATACCTCAGCTCACTAAAGCTGTACCTCGCGTACTCCTCTCGCCACCTGTTCGTCCATCGCCTTCGCTCGTCCTTCTTCATGTCGCAGCATATAGCCCCGAAGCACAATGAAAGAGAATGACATCAAAAATTCCGCCCCCAATGGCCCCGAAGGACAATTGAGCATGAGTCGACGCCGCGCTGTGCAATGCAGGCCTCTCAGGCTAGTGCCCCGTTTTCATGATCTCGAGGCACTGGAACAAGGTAAGTATGAAGAGGAAAGGAAAAAAAAAAGCAAAGGATTGGCGAAGCGGGACAATATATACCTAAGGTGCAGTGGGGCCCGTGCGCCTTCTTGCTGCCTGGGGCTACCATCTGCGATTCCAGGGAGGCAGCACCTGGTCAGTGCTTCAGCCACGACTCATTGTGACATACATATCTGCTGGCTATCGCCGCCTTGTGTCTTCCTTTATTCAATATTTACTTCGTACATCGTTTTCCGGAAGGGGAAAATTGCACCGTGTGAAGCAACCGCCAAGTGCCACGGTCAGTCTGTCACTGACCTCCTCATGTCGCATTGCACCATTGCGAGAGGCCAGTAACAGAAGTGGGCGGCCTCATATCCAATGAGAGTGGAGCCTGGGTCCCATGACGCACCGGCCCAACAACTAGCCGCTCTTTATTAGCAGTGCATGTACAGATTACTCTTCCAGTGACCAAGGCTTCTTTCAGGCTCAACAATACTTAGCTCAGTATTGTCATCGCACAGGCACCGCTTCTCGACGCAACCTCTATTATCGTCTAGTACTCGGTCTTTCTTTGCACTCTCAATCTTCCCTACATCAACAGACGTGCTTTCTCTCCGCCGACCGCTCGCCATGAAGTTCTCCACCGCTCTCAGCCTGCTCAGCTTCTGCCTCGTGCCGGCAACGGCTCTGAGCATCTTGGACGGCGGCAACAAGATCCCCGGCGACTCGCCCCTCGAGCTCTGTGACGGCGACCACAGCGACGACCAAATCACCATCAAGAAGGTCGACCTCGATCCCAACCCTCCCAAGGCGTACGTTTTTCTCCAGCTTTCCTTGCCCTCCGCCCCCAAGGCGCTTGACACAGGGAGACCTATGGACTGCGATATATCGGAGCGCTGCTATACAAGGTGCTAACATACTACCAGTGGCCAGGAGCTTCTTATCAAGGCCAGCGGCACCGTCAAGGAAACAATCCGGAAGGGCGCCTACGTCAAGGTGACTGTTAAGTACGGTCTCATCAGGCTCATGTCGATGACAGCCGATCTCTGCGAGCAGATCGGAAACGTCAACATGACATGCCCTGTTGAAGCCGGCGACCAAACCATCGAGAAGATTGTCAAACTTCCCGCTGAGATTCCTCCTGTATGTCTGGTGCCTCCCTACTGGAATTTGTACCCGGATAGCTAACAATCGACCAGGGCAAATACAACGTCGTCGCTGATGTCTACAACGCCGATGATGAGCAGATCACTTGCCTCACTGCTGCCGTCACCTTTACGATCGGCGGATTGGGTTATTTCAACGAGTTGTAATCCGTCTGCTGCCACGTTAGATTAATGTGCCTCATGCTAGCGAATCCTAATTGCATCGGCCGACTACCCTGTGGTCTTTTTTTCCTTTTTTTGTCGCCCTCTTTCTGGTTTGCGAGCAGTCATAGTTTCCAATATACAATTAGATGGGTTTCCTTCGCAGTGTTCGGTATATATAAACAAGGACAATTATACATCACCTTGCAAGCACTTGTAATGTTAAATCATTGTATTGATGTCGTACCAAGCTAGGAAAACACACACAGCAAGCGTCCATCCCCAACATACACCTACTCGCCAAACAGACGACGCACACGTCTCAATACACTGTCCTTCTCGGGATCGTATGGATGGTCTTTGCTGGGGATCTCAAGAACCGTAGGAAAAGCTGCGGTGTAGGTATCGAGGCGATGACGTATACGGTCGGCAATCTATAATACTAGCGTGAGCAATCTACATCCTCTGAGAAAACAGTGAGCCCAGAAGCCATACATGTTGGTTGATCAAAACAATGCCAACATCCTTGCGCTCCTCAGTGAACCGGTCGAAGGCGGATTCGATGGCCTGCGTATCGGTCTTGTTGTCGACAACTAGGAAGTTCTTTTGGCCGTCACCACCGGTTGTAACATGCTGCCAAATCGTTAGCCACATGTCACTAGCCCCGAGTTACTTTTTGCGACTCACTCCGATACCAGCTAGCAGCAATCCCGTCACAGAGTCCTGTCAACCGTCCGTTAGCCATTGTCCATTCCCATTGCCTCGGCCGCGGGTGCAACGCCGGCGGCGTACCTCATCACCAATCACTGCCAGAAACTGGCGGTCCTTGAAATCTGCATGTGATGCCATATTGAAGGACTGCTGCGCTGCCGGGCCTGAACACGAGAGCTAGACGTTGTAGAAAAGTGGTGATGTCGTCGCCTCAACGGTTGCGCCCACTGGAAGCCTCAGAGCCACTGGATTAACTTGCCCCACCAGAGTTCAGCCAGCCTAGAGGTAGTTGGCTGCCGCTTTAGCAAATTCAACCCCGAAATGCACCAGTATGTTTTAAAAGCGGCACTGCACGCTAGTGGTGCCGTGCCTGACAACCAGCTAGGTAGGTAAGCAAGTAAGGTAGTTCACAAACAAAACAATCAGAGCTCTTGCAACGAACCATCACCTCGACAGAAGTCTTTCACTAGCTCCCGTCTCGTCGCCGGATACGGGATCACTGGCTTTTGAGAGTCATACCATCGCCTCCGAAAAACAGCTGCTGTCAACGCGCCGCGCGCATAATTACTGCTATGCCTCGTCTGGTGCGCCGCAAACCGCTTCTTCAGCGCCTCTCGGCGCTGCTGAATCCCATGGACTCTCTGCTCTGGCTGTCAGAAGAGCTGGAGACGCGCGACTGGGACTCTAAAAACGCGGGCACGCAACTTGGTCTGGGGCTGAATTTTGTTTTTCTTCTCGCCCGCGCAAACTCTGGTTCGGCGCAGCCGACAGACGATGTTTTTAGCGGTGACGACAAGTCGCTGTGGTTGTCGCTGGTGGTACGACGCAAGCGCTGCAAATGAAGCGTTCCTTATGCAAATGCTGACATTTGAATAGATCAACTCTATTGTCTGGGGTCTGGGTATATTTGCAGTCACGAACGGCGTGTACACTCTGACGCGCGCTCGCAAGTATAGGATGTTCGAGGCGAACATTGATGTGCAGCCTGCTACGCCCTCGGCTCACAGGGTTCGGGTGCAAGGCTCACCAACCTCCTCTTCGCCTCTTGGGTTTCTTGCTAGCATGATTACTCCTGATACGCCAGAGAGTAGGGCCCATCCCGACAAGAGACGAGATGTGTGGGAGCTCTCTGTCTGGGATCCTCTGCCCATATCGCTACGTCTGTTTTGTTTATTTGGACCAGCACACGTTTTGGTGTACGCCATGTTTCTCCCTCTTGCATCGTTGGATCCCCGTCCCAGCATGACTGTTTTCAACACGTTGGTAATTCAAGGCCTTTTGTCTGCACAGCTATTGCTCTTCTTCTCCAAGTTCACGCAGCAGGGCAAGGATAACTCCATTATCCAGAAAGAAGTCATGCACGAATATGACACCAAGTTCGTCCACCCATTGATGCATCCTGTTGTGCGCGACGTCGGTGTTCAAGCATCCGCAGACGCTGGCTCGAGCACCGAGGATCTTGTGCAAACCGGCACACCCACGACACTCATTCGACGGTCCTTCAAGACGCACAAGAACCCGCACATCGATGAAGAGGAACCCGCCCCATCTCGACCACGCACGTTGAAGCCAAATCTTTTCACACCGTCCGGTCGTCGATCAGACTCGTTCAGCCCTATGCCGTCTATTCGCAGCTCAGGCCTTCGTAATAGCATGCCTACGCCTGTGCGCCTGCCGGCGTCTGTCTCGACTAGCAACCTGAACATGCCGTTTCCCTCTGTATTCCCGGGCGCCTCGACACATGATCATTCTCCATTACGACACACACACAGCCTCAATAATCTTAACAGCCCTCTCCAACCACAATCACCACGCACGTCCAGGGAAATGGCGGCGTATGAACAACGAACTCGACCAAGAAGTCCGTTGAAACACTCTGAAAGTCGAAATTCATTTGGCGCAACGCCCTTGAACAGGCGAGGTACGGGGAGATCTGCACAGCAAGAAGGTCAACGGCCAGTATGGTAGTGCCATATTATTCTTTATAATAATTCAAAAATCCAAACCACTAAGTTTTGGTCTCATTTGTTGTTACGATAGTGTGCTATTTCGTTATCACCATGTAACTGGCATGCGTTACTGGTCCAACAGAGACGTCGGGCGTACCTGCCTGGTGAGAGACCTGGCAGGCTCGATGAATATCGTCATCATGCAGCTCGCTCACTATTGTTTTTCATGGTTTTAAAAGCCGAAGTGGTGTTGACATATTTTCAGTGTTGGTACACTTGGCTCAAGGGCCATGGGATTCAATTCACTCCTTTAGCATACTGCTGCAATTACAGGTTGCCAGTATCACTACTGCCGTTCCTGTCAGCTGCTGCAAACGCTGCTCGCCACCATGCCGCATTTTTTGGGTCCCAGAATTTCTCCATCTGCACAACTCTCATTAAAGAAACACGAGACAAACCCAGGCGGAAAATCGACGAGTCACGACGAAAAGAGGCGCATCGCATCCTAGGGGGGTGGGTGGACTCGTCATATATTCCCTAGCAAACGACTGGAACGAGGAGGCACTCTGCGAGCCAAAGGCTTTTGGGAAGCGTCTGAATCAAAGCGCAACCCAGCGGCAATTCGACGAGAAAGATCCACCATGGAAGGTGGCTCGTACGAGGGAAGCATGCACTCAGATACAATTGTGCGCTGGAATACAGCAAAGGAGCTCCCCAACAGAAAGACCACCAATACAACTACACCGAATTCTCCTCATGGGAAGCGTGACATGCAATTCAATCTCCCAGAAATACGATTCAGTCACGACGACGGCAGCACAGATTGGCTGTCGAACGAGAGCAATCATCATGACGACGGTAGCACAGATTGGCTGTCGAACGAGAACGATAGTCACGACATATCAGTTGACGATTCTCGCCCCCCCCTGGACTACACGTTTCTGCCTAGAGCAGACTCAATCTCGACACATGTTCTTGACAACAGCCTTGCAAGAGCAGATCATGTTCTGCGGCTGCGAAAACAAGCTCGGCGAGAACGAAGAGCTTTGAAAGAGAGCGGCGATTACCTGGGGGTCCAAGGAGTCAATCCCGAGACGGGTCGCATGGACGTCGAGACCCCAACGGATAGCGAAGAGAGCCACCCGAGCCTTGGAGCATCGCCTGCCGAGCATAGCCAACCGAAGCGTATGATTGTGACTTTTGATCCGAGGGTTACTGAAAAAGAACACAAGAAAATGCTACTCAAAGCCCGCGAAGATGAGCTCCGCCGCATAGAAACGAGCAAGCTGGAGGCTGAAGAAGTGGCTGACCAGCTCATGTGGCGACGACACACGAAAGAGTGGTCAATCGTCAAAGATCCAGGAGCCAGCAGACTGCAGCAGCAACTTGGATCACCCCCAGGTTTGTAGCCCCTCGTCATTCTGATAATTAACTACTAAGCCCTATTCACAGAAAATTCCCCTGCCTCTCAAGTCCCAGAGACTAGCCACAAGGTTCAGGAAAACCTGATCGACCTGGATGATTTGCAAAGAGAAGTTAGCTCTGCCGAGAGTCTCGATTCGAACAGCGCGAACGAACGAGCATCGTGTGGTACTGTTATGCGCACCCCCCATCAGCGCAGTTTAGCAGATATTTCCCGTGCAGGATTAGAATTGTTTGAGAATGGGATAAGTTTTGACCATTCCTTTCGGTCCAAGAAAGCAAGTCACGCAACGTCTTTCAACCGTGAGTCCTCTGGGGGGATTTCGCCAACCACCAAAGTCCGGCCAGACCCAGACCATATCGCAAACTCGAAATGGCAGCCTTTTTTAGAAAATGGCGACCACAACTCCAAAGATCCGACCAATCAAATGAGCAAGCTCGGGCACCGGACAGACACTCGCAAGACTTTTCGCGCGGTGACGAATTCGCTGCGGGCAACAACAAGTCTAAGCAATATTTTCATGGCCAATACACAGACTCGAACGCAGACCATGGCAAAAAAGCATATGCTGAGGAGAGAAACCACCGATTCTTTGACAGAATCGCATCTAGCGGGCGCACGGGTCAAAAACGTCGACCAGAAAGCAGGCCGTTTCATGACAATGGCGCCGAGTCTCTCTACCATCCAGTACCCAGAACCTTTCGAGATGACAGAAGACGTGAGGTGCGGCTCGACGCCGGACAAAACAGTCCAGGATACGAGAATGCTGAGCGGCGGGTTTCCAGACCTAAATTGCATCAATCACAGCAAAGAGGACCAGGAAGGTCACAGTCTAGGCGTTCGAGGAAGAACCGAAGACGAAGCATCGAATACCCCGAGAGCAGTTCAAGCAAAAGACGGATCTGTATACACACACACCACCATCACTACTGGCTCTATGCTACTGACAGCCCCCCAATTGGAGGGCCGCAACGCGCCAGTAGCGAACGAGCCAGGAATGCCAACGGCATCCTGCCCAGAGAAGACGTGGAATGTTTTGTCGAAGGCCGTGGACACGCAAATCGCTACACCGAACGATACCACCTCCCTGGCAGGAGCGAGTTCTCTACAAGACGCAATACCGTTTGCTTTGAAGACAACGAGGGCCGCGCATCGTTTACAGCTGCGCGAGAAAAAGACCAACGGCATAACTCAAAGCGTCGGTCCGAAGGCCACACCAGCCAGCCACAGTCTGACAGAGCCCCAAAATGGACCCAAGACAATGCTAAAAGTAGCTTACGCAGAGGATCGAAAGAGGAAGGTAGTGCAGAGAGAGATGGAACGCATTCACTGCGACGGATGCAGCGAATGCTTCCGAGTAAGTCTAGACTGTCACATGGGTAGCATATGAGATATGACTGATGATGTAGCAGATTCCCGGAAGCTTTCCAGCGCACCTCATCGAAGACGACGGCATCGTGCCTCATTCCGCTAGCACATACCCATACAGATACGCAGCGCAAGCAACTCAAGCAACGCAAACTGTGCAGCTCGGCGCTGTATTTGACTATACTCTTGGCCCATTTGTAGCAGCGATCGAGATTTATTGCAAAGTCGTCTGGCCCGTTTTTGATCCCTACTCTCCCCTTTGGGAGAGAAATGCGAACAAGGAGACGACAATCCTGGACTTGGTAGTTTTGGTTTTGGCGATTCCTGGTGCGATAGTGATCCTAGCATTGGCTGTGTGGGGACTCAGAGTTTCGACGGCAGTGGGAAGCTGTTTGTATAGCGCAGGCCGAGGAGTTGCAAGCAATGCATCAGGACTTTTCGGGTGGTATTAGATTGTGAAGAGCCGCTGAGATTTGAATTGATGCTGAGGGCGACTGAGGGGATTGGCGATGAGCCCCAGGGAAAGTGCGCATGGGAAGGCTAAGCGACATGGTATACGAGGTAATAGAAATAGTCCTAAATGAAATTTCCTACTCATGAGGCGGTTCATATTTTGTTATGTGGGTGTTGTCATTTGTACGGATGTTTATATGTTCATGATGAAATTGGTAACGCAAGTATCAGTTTGCGGTTCGTGATCGCTTGCAGCAGCGAGATGCTCCAGTGGCCTGACGGGTGGCGGCCCAGCAAGACTCGCACAGCAGGCAGGCTCCTGCAGCTGCAACTTGACTTGTGATTCTGGCGAGACATGTGCACAAGTGGTGCAAGAACCAGAGTTGTCCGTTCAATGGTTCCATGTGAACAAAGTAACCTGGTGGTGCTTGGTGCTTCTCGTGGTTGCGCCAGTGAATAGACCGAGTATCGGCGCAGCGTTACATTGACAAATTACAGTGGGATGCTGCAGGGGGGCCACACCTCAGCCAATGCTGGCATGCCATTTGGCAATCCGCCGGCCATGACTTATTAATACCTACATAGGTACATAGGTAGTTCGTACCTATCGCTAGCTAAAATAATGAACGCAGCTGGGAATCCAGAATGGCTTTGCGCCGATACCCCACATCACAAGCCGTTCCCGCTCCAAAGGTTTAGGCTCCGATGATCGGAGTCGCCGAGGCCGGCGCGGCAGCCTTTTGGCGTTGCAATGGAATATCATAAAAGAGCACCGGAGCCCTCTTTTGACATTTGTATTGAATTCCCCTCAAACCGTCTTGTTGTAGACAATTTTTTCCTGCCATTTCTGATTGCTGTAGCCTGCTGTTGCGGTTGTCTTGTTGACCAACACCGCCTCTCCTCCAAGCGCATCTACACCTGTTTGGCCTCGGACTCTCAGCCTACACTAAAATTTTACGGTCCAGCTTGGTTAGATACCTGGGCGGTCCCCCGACATCATCAACCCCACCAAAACTCTCATCCTGCTCTTCTCCCGTTCTTGTTCCTTTCCTCCGCAAAGCTCTATTTCTTGCTCTCTCTTCTCTTCTCATCCATCGTCTTTTCCGACTCCCACAGCCACGATGCCTGAGTCCGTATCAAAACCGCAAACCCTCTACGACAAGGTGCTCTCCAAGCACATCGTCGACGAGAAGCTTGACGGCACACTCCTCCTCTACATCGGTACGCTTTTGGCCCCTCCTCTTGCCGCTCGGTAACGCTTCTTGCTAACCCGCTACTCACCCCCCACCAGATCGCCATTTGGTCCACGAAGTCACTTCTCCCGTACGCCATTTGCCTCGCGACCTTGACTGAATCTGTCGACCAGAGTTGTGCTAACTATTGCCAAAGCAAGCTTTTGAGGGTCTCAAGAATGCCGGCCGTGCAGTCCGCAGACCGGACTGCACCCTGGCCACGACCGATCATGTAAGTTCTTGGCCGCACCTTGTTGCTCTCCTCTTGATACAGACTTGCTGACCTTGGGCGTTTGCGCAGAATGTCCCCACCACCTCCCGCAAAGGCATGAAGGACATTGCGAGCTTCATCGAAGAGGACGACTCCCGCACACAATGCGTCACTCTCGAGGAAAACGTCAAGGACTTTGGCTTGACCTACTTTGGTCTGGGCGACAAGCGCCAGGGCATCGTGCACGTAATCGGCCCCGAGCAGGGCTTCACTCTGCCCGGCACCACCCTGGTCTGCGGCGACTCCCACACCTCAACCCACGGCGCGTTCGGCTCCCTCGCCTTTGGCATCGGCACCAGCGAGGTTGAGCACGTCCTGGCTACGCAGTGCCTCATTACTAAGCGCAGTAAGAACATGCGCATCCAGATCGACGGCGAGTTGACTCCCGGCGTCAGCTCCAAGGACGTGGTGCTCCACGCCATTGGCAAGATTGGCACAGCCGGCGGCACCGGCGCCGTCATCGAGTTTTGCGGCTCCGTCATCCGCAGCCTCAGCATGGAGGCGCGCATGTCCATTTGCAACATGAGCATCGAGGGTGGCGCCCGCGCCGGCATGGTCGCCCCCGACGACGTCACCTTTGAGTACCTCAAGGGCCGCCCGCTTGCGCCCAAGTACGACTCTGACGAGTGGCACCGTGCCGTCGCCTACTGGCGCGCCCTGCAGTCCGACCCCGGCGCCGCTTACGACGTCGACGTCTTCATCGACGGCAAGGACATTGTGCCCACCATCACCTGGGGCACCAGCCCCGAGGACGTCGTCCCCATCACCGGCACCGTCCCGGACCCCGAGACATTTGCGACCGAGTCCAAAAAGGCCGCCGGCCGCCGCATGCTCGAGTACATGGGTCTCACGGCCGGTACGCCCCTCGAGGAGATCGCCGTCGACAAGGTCTTCATCGGTTCCTGCACCAACTCGCGCATCGAGGACATGCGCGCGGCCGCCGCCGTCGTCAAGGGCCGCAAGGTCGCACCCAACGTTAAGCGCGCCATGGTCGTCCCCGGCTCCGGCCTCGTCAAGTCGCAGGCCGAGGAGGAGGGCATCGATCAGGTCTTTGTCGACGCTGGCTTTGAGTGGCGCGAGGCCGGCTGCAGCATGTGCCTCGGCATGAATCCGGACATTCTCTCTCCCAAGGAGCGCTGCGCCAGCACCTCGAATCGCAACTTTGAGGGCCGCCAAGGCGCTGGCGGCCGGACCCACCTCATGTCTCCCGTCATGGCCGCCGCCGCCGCCATTGTCGGCAAGCTTGCCGACGTCCGGAAGCTTACCAGCTACACCGCCAGCCCGCACGTCCAGGCCAGCCAGGCCCAGACCCCCGCCGCCGGCAAGCCCCATGTTGACGAGCGCGTCGTCGACGACGCTGCCGAGCGCGAGGCCATTGGCGACCAGCCTGAGGACAACCTTCCCCACACCAACACCCAAGCGATCGCCACCAGCGGCAACGGCGTCGGCGCCGGCCTCCCCAAGTTCCTCACCCTCAAGGGTATCGCCGCGCCGCTCGACAAGGCCAACGTCGACACCGACGCCATCATCCCCAAGCAGTTCCTCAAGACCATCAAGCGCACCGGCCTCGGCAGCGCGCTCTTCAACGCCCTGCGCTACCACGAAGACGGCTCCGAGAACCCGGCCTTTGTCCTCAACCAGGAGCCCTACCGCGCCGCCAAGATCCTCGTCTGCACCGGCGAGAATTTCGGCTGCGGCTCCTCGCGCGAGCACGCGCCCTGGGCCCTCCTCGACTTTGGCATCAAGGCCGTCATCGCCCCCTCCTTTGCCGACATCTTCTTCAACAACATGTTCAAGAACGGCATGGTGCCCATTGCCGTCACCAACAAGGCTGACCTCGACGCCGTCGCCGCCGAGGCCCGCGCCGGCCGCGAGGTCGAGGTCGACCTGCCCGCCCAGGTCCTCCGCACCGCCGCCGGCGACACCATCTGCCGCTTCGACGTGGAAGAGTTCCGCAAGCACTGCCTCGTCAACGGCCTCGACGACATTGGCCTCACCATGCAAATGGAGGACAAAATCTCCGCCTTTGAGCAGCGCATGACGACCGATACCCCTTGGCTTGACGGCAAAGCTTACCTCAAGCGCAAGGGCCAGGGCGGCAAGCTCGCCGTCAAGGCTGTGCCCGTCGCCAAGACGAATCGTGGTGAGCCCATCAAGGAGCCGCTTGAGTGGTAGCTTGCAACAAGCAAAAGAAAAAAAAAGAAAAAGAAACCCCCGAGAAAGGGAATAAAAGCCGATAATGTCATTGGGAAGGAGTTGAAATGATTTCACATGTTCTTCGATATGAGTTGCATGGATGACACAACTGTTCAGACGGGAATGTGCAACGTGGAAGAAGATGAAAAGTATACAGTTGATCAATCCAGGATATGCAGATCTAGTGAATAGCAAACCATCGTGGTTATGATTCTGGTAAACAACTAATCTCTTGTGTTTCGTTCCTTGTATGCATGCTCTGAATAACACTGCACCAAAAGGAGACTAATTCCACCAAAAGCTGACGCTCAAGCTGACGCTCAAGCTTCGCACATGATGCCACCATCCGATGGGTATGAGCAGTGTATCTCCCGGTTCCAGAATGCAGTCAAAGTATTCGACAGTACTGAGTTCATTCTTTATCTGCTCTATGAGTTCAGCAGCCTCCCCGTCACTTGACATGTCGTCGGTTGTGCACTTGTCCCAGCCATAGACCGCGCCTAGGTCAATAGTGCTTGTGTTACTCATGTCGGCGCCCTCGGGGTTGTTCTTGAATGGCCGCATGTACTTATCCGCTTGAGGAGGATAAAGTCTGACATACTTAGTGCCCACGACTTGGCACAAGAGATTGGTGTACGAGTCGGTATGCAGGGGCGTGGTGGTGCCAGCGGAACCGAACCAGACATTGAGCGCCGGCACCTCGAGCTTCGGCCTCACCTTGTCCTTGTTCAATGGGTGGCCGGGAACAGTGGCCCAGCAAAAATCGGGGACTAGGATGTCGTTGCGAAGGGCAGGTATTTGCCGAAAGAGGTCATGTTGCGCAAGGTAGCCCGGAACGCGAGAGAGCATGGGAATAGGCTCAGCCGTGTCGCATACCGCATGGTCAACAGTGAGGCGGTTATCAATATATCCAACGAGAAAGTTTTTGAAGGACAAAAGCTGCTGACCCCAGTCAGAATGGACATAACTTAACCCAATTTCTACGGGAACTAGCCTTCGCCCGCCCACCGTGTGGGATAGCAAGTAATTCGGCCGGAACCATCTTCGCTCCACAATGGCAGGCCATGTGTCCTTCGTCAAATCTGTAAATACAATAGGCTGAATCCCAATCTGACCAGTTTCCACGGTAAGCGAATGGCCTATGCTCATGTACCTCTCAAACTTGTCCATAGTCCAGCCTTGACGTCTCGTACACGGACTCGTCACCGGCGGGCGACCGTATGGTTCCTTGGTGGAAAATTCGACGTCGGGACCGTACACTGCATAAGGCTTCCAGGCCGCGGAGATGATTTTGAACGTTCCCTCGATCCAAGTGTTTTTTAGAATCCCGCACCCACCAGTAATGATAAGAGACCGATCAAGACAGGCGACAACTTCGTCCAGTGCCTTCAGGAACGCCTGGAACTGCTCTGGTGGGCTCTGCCTCTTTAGTTGTTCGAGGAGGAAATGGAATGCACTAAGAACCTGCACGTCGGAGTAAATTTGTCCCCAGAAGGACGGTACTTGGTCGAAGCGATACGCGTAGATGCGAGAGTGGCTTGCTAGCTCAAGATCCTTTAGCCGGCGAGGTATCTGCTCGCAAGCCGGGTTGAGCAGGCCGGTTCCGGTAGTAGTAACTTCGTGTAAGTTAAGTAGACGATGTGCTTGTGTGTTAAGTAGGCTCGTCATGGCTCCGCGATCAAGAGCGTCCATCGCTCTGGTGGTCGTGAATGGTAATGGTTGGGGGTTGGGTAAGGCTGGTTCTTCGTTAGTTGCATCCGCTACCTTGGTTGTGCCGTCACAAAAGCGGTCGAGAAGCTTTCTAAGCTCAGGCCACATAAAAGGAGCTGGACTCATGATGGTATGCTTGTGCTTTGTGCTTTGTGTTTGATGATGGCAGACGCTTCTGTGTTGACAGGATGAAGTTGTCAAGCAAACGTCAAGCGTCTCCACTTGGTGGTTGAAGCAAGTCTGCTGCGCCGGCGCCAACACCAAGAGTAGGAGCCATCACTTCTGAGAAGGCCCATGATCCGTACCTCCTACCCAGGTGATAGGGAATAGCGGATGCTAGCAGCTTGTATTTTTATCAAGAAGAAATATTATTTATATATTGTATGCTTAGCTCTGACTATCCTCTTCCGTGGCATCCGGTTTCTGACCGTCTCTTCGCGCTTTCGCCCCAGCCTTGAGCAACTCCCACTTCTCTCTGTACTTTTCCAACGTCTTTTGCATTTTACGGTTGTCCTTTTCCAGACGTTCCATCTGCTTCGTGGACGCTATGAGTTGCTCCTCCATCTCCTCGCTCCTCCGTAGCATGGCGGCGGCGGCGCCGTCGTCGGGTTTGGCCGACGCATTCGGCGAGCAAGGCCGCATTAGGCGGTAGCTTTCTGCCAGCGCCATGGCGGAGCTTTGCGCGCTTGCTTCGAACGTATGCAGTCTCTTGGACAGCTTGTCTAGCATGTCCTTGAGGGACTGGTTTTCTGTATACAGCTCCTCGATGGTGTTGTTGAGCTGCCGTTCTGTATGGGAGGATTTGCCAACTCGCCGCTTCGCACCAGGCGATAGAGCGACGGGAAGCTCGCGTGCATCCACAAAATCATCATCTTCCTCCTCTACAATCCCGGGCTCTGCACTGCCATGGATAGAGCTGCCCAGACGCCGCTTCTCCTTCTCAGCGTAACTAAGAATATTGGCATATGACATGGTGTGACCGGTTGTGGGTACGACGTAGAAGGACTCATGAGGCGCATGCCCCTCGCGCGCCAATATGCGCATTGTAGCCTTGGAGTATATCTTGGACAGATCCGGCTCAGCACTCGGTGACGGAACCGTCTTTGGTTTCCTTCTTGGTTGGGTCGCCTCGGGCACCTCCTTGTCCGATGTGATGGACTCTTCTTGGATGAGTGGCAGGCCAGCAAATGCCAAGGGCGCTGAAATTTTATTGATGAGGCTGCCAAAGGTGTTGTAGAACCTCGCATACCCAACTTCGTCGGCATTCGGTTCTGAGCTTTGCTGTTGGGGCGCCGAGACGGATCTGTGGCGTGTGTCGGACTTGGACGACTGCATGGGCGGCACCCAGGTCGGCTTGCCGGGCTGGTGGTCCATCAGGGTCTGCATCTTGGTCCGGGAGCCGTCGCGGCGCGGATGCGGGTCGACGTTGCCGGGCGCTTGGTCGTTGGAGACACTGGGACTGAGTGGCTGCCCGCGATACTTGCCGCGGATGCCACGCGCCGAGGCCAGGTTGCTCGCAATCGACGACGACATTTCCCGCGCGGCGTGGCGCCGCTGCTGCGCGAGCCCCGGCATGTGCGGCGACGAGCCAGTCGCCGAACGTGGTGATGCTGCTCCGCCGCCCATCGAGGACGGGTTGCTGCCCGCGTGAGCGGCGGCCTCGTTGCCGTCCTTTTCGCTAAAGACACCCTTTTCGTCGGTGTCGCGTGCGTGCGCATCGGGCGGCAGCCGGAGCAGCTCGGCGAGCCGCTGGTGGTGCGCCTCGAGGAGCTTGAGCGTGCGGAGAGCCTCGATACTCGACGTCCGTTGGGCGGCGTTGGCAAACTCGCCCGCGGCCAGGGTGTGCTCGTTGATGGCAACGGTGGTGTCAGTCGACTGGCGGGTGGCGACAGCGGCGGCCTGCGCGTGGTCGTGCGCCTTGATGAGGGGTGCTGAATCCATAGTTGCTCTATTTGGGTGGGCTGGTTCGTGTCTCGCTAGTTTGGGGATATCGAATATCTATAAGTCGGCCACAGGCGCACCAAACGGCCCGCGATGGATGGTGACGGAACTGAAATCAAGTGAAGGGTTCACGGGAACTTTTGACGGTCACGACCGCCAACTTTTAGCGGGGCTGCGATGCGATCGCCCCGCACTAACTTTACGAAGGTATCTAGGTAGGTAATAGCAGATGCAAAACGAGCGTGCAGCAGTCTCAAAGACTAATCAAGGGAAGGTGATGATTTATTGTTCTTGTGCTGCCTTGCTTTCATCCGTCAAAAATAATTGGATGTCATTATCATACTAGAGAATGTGCTCAAGGTCAAAGCCGTGTTGACAGTATTATCCCAAGTAAATTGTACACCTTTATAGACTACCAAGTCAAAAAGCCATCCAGAATCCCCATTCTAACATGTCCACACGCCGACAATACCGTTCTGTCTGCCCTCTACCATGTAACCGTCCTTTACACGCACACGCTCCACAATCGACGTCTTCCTGCCCTCTTCGGCCGCCGTGACGCCTGCGCCGCAGTCCCATTGCCTTCCCTCTACTTTATCGTACACCTTGACAACATCCTCGCACGCTGCACTAACAATCCTCCTCGCGTCAAACATCATACTCGTAATAGGGTTGTCATATGCATATGCATCGTATATAGATCCAGTCCGCAGATCCCAAATCTACCGTCTAGTTAGTATTCATATTCCAAACCTGTGCCTCGCTCCCGTGACTTACTCTTATGCTTCTGTCCAAACTTCCAGTGACCAGGTGCACGTCGTCAAACTGAAGACATGTTACGGCTCCAGTATGGCCGACAAGGCTTCTATGTACCTGTCCGCTGCGCAGATCCCACAGACGCACCATGCCGTCCGCAGTACCACACGCCAGCGCCGACTCGAATAGCTGCAGGGCGCCGACAAAATCAGCTGAGCTGGATTGTGAACGGCCTGTAGGCCTCCAACCGGCATCCGACGTGCTAGGGTTGGCAGAAGCCTGCGCGGCCGCCCACATGACATCCAGCGTCTGGATACAGCGGCCCTTTTCCAAATCCCAGTGGCGCAGCGTCTTGTCCGCGGATCCAGAGATTAGAGTCTCGCCACGGAAGTGAAGAGCCGTGATTTCCCCAACGTGCGACTGCAGCGTAAAGAGCTCGCAGTCGTCCATGCTACCCTGAGGTGGCTCAACGTACTGGTCATTGGGGTTCTCAAACGCGATGGCATCCTCGTCTTCCTCCCCGTGTCCACTGGCACCTTGCGGGTCGTATTGTGATTTGCTCAGATCCCATAGTTTGATAGTAGCATCTACTGAGCCGGTCGCCAGGATGTTGTCTTGAACTTGTAATGTGCGGACTGACGCATTGTGGCCTTCGAGGTGGCCCATACAGCGACCCGCATTCAAATCCCACACGCGAACCGTGTCGTCGAGGGCAGCAGTTACCATGACGCCGAAAGGCGCGTCAAAGTCGAGGGAGGTGATTGTGTCGTTGTGAGCTCGGATTTCGCGGATGTTGGAGCCAGCCTCAAAATGCTCGTGTAAAATGGGCATAGATTTACGGCGGCGAACCTTTTTCGGTCTTTTCGGGGGTTTGCTAGAGGTAGAGCTGGGGATTTTGTCGTATACGGATTGCGACATGAATTCAGCGTCGTGATCGTCAGCATCGCCAACGAGGTCAACTTCATCTCGGGTGGGTGTGTTCTTTGCGATTTCCTCGGCCTCATCAACAAGCGCCTGGGCGGCCTCTATTCTTCCTTCGACATCAAGAACTAGACAACGTTAGATATGCATGGGTGGGCAAGACCAGACTGGCTCACTGTCATGTTCAAGGAGTGCCTCTTCTTGTTCCAAGCCTGCTAGTCTCTCCATGATGATTCGGCGCATGCCATGTAGGTTGGCGATTTTGTTGTCGATATCGTGAATCTCACCACTAGCCATGTTTTTGCGCACAGCGAGCAAGTCAAATTCGTGCATCATGGCGGCCTTTTCCTTCCTGGCCTTGCTGAGCCGGTGAGTCTCTGAAAGGGCGGTGCCATCCTCGAGCAGCTTCCTCCCCCTCGAAACGCGTCGTCGATGCTTCTTGCCCTCGTCGGTGAGCTCGGGGAAGCTGGCCTGGAAGCCCTGGAAGAGCGAGTAGCTGTTTTCGTGGTCGGGGATGTTGGAGAGGAGATGGTCGGGGAGGGTCGTCAGGGCGCGATGCTGAATTTCCGCGCGGGAGAGCTTGGAACGGACAAGATCGGTGGGCGTGGTTCTGGCCATGGCAAACATGCTGCGCTGGACAGTCGGCCTCTTGAGCTGCTTGTGTACCTCGGCCATGGCAGCCTGGTAGTGCGTGGATGCGCCGTCGGCATTGACGGGGCCCATGAGGTGGCTAGCGGTCGTTGTTACTTTTCTGCTGAATGCCTCGAGGCCGCGGGTCTGTACACGGCAGCGACAACAAGGGAACGCGTTAGCAAACTGAGGTGTAACCGACGAACAAGGCCGTGGCCATCACACGACACCAGGGGGTGGCAATGGACGACGAGGCAGTTTGTTGTCGCGTACCGAAATGAGCGACTGGTCATCGTCGGCACCATCATCCGCGAAATCGTACTGGCTTTCTGGGTCAGCCATGGCTCCGGCCGTAGAGCTCGAGCTGCAATTGCGTCGTGGACAATGGCTTGGAGGGAAACTGTGGCGCGTAGGTCAGAGGGAGTTTTGCGACCAAGGGTGGTCTTGAATGTGAGAGCGGCTCCAGCTGGTGCCAAGTACCGTACCAATGAGAGGGGGCGGGAGCAGGGAGGGATGGTCGCTGGAGGGCGCTGTACATGCATGATAATGCCACTGTAACCAGCGAGCTGTTGGCGTGATCCATCGCTGGTCTCAGTGGTCTGTCACTGGACGAGCTTGCTGACTGAAGCTGTGGGGCCTCTTCACGGCGGGCAAACTGATGTAGCAAGGCCACTACAAGAGTAAAGACTTCAGTTGTTGTAAGTTACATATCTCCCCCCAGTTACTGGTTATTAGACTCACCTTTCCTATCGAACAACTCTTCTGCTTAACTTCAGTTATTGTTGTCTTTTGTATTAGGATCGCTACGCCACTACAGACCCGGTGGTTCACCTTGTGACTCTATACCTATCTATGTCCTAGGTACTATAGGTATTCCGACATGATTTCCCTGCTGTGAGGGACCTTCTGTGATTTTCACTGTGGTAAGTATTATAGGCCTGCAAGGTCACATAACACATTGCCATAGACCCCCACCTACCGCGCAGGTATGCATAGCAAATTTAAAGTTCATAGAACTGGCAAAGGGGGATACGCCAATCAGGATAATTCGTAGCGAGACTGCATTAAACAAGCCGAGATTGATGTTTGGCGAGTAAGGTTCAGTGTTACAGAGGCAAATGGTACTGTGAGAAACAACTGGCGCATAGCCCAGGCAAACCAGTACCTACACAATAAATTGAAAGAGTTCGATTTTTGGGGGGCATTTTTGGTATTATTTCCAGCGGAGGGCTTTTGAAATTATTCCATCCCCCTCATGATGGTACAGGCCGCCATTGGGATAGTGCAATACCCCTCTACAACCAACCCAAACGACATCTCTTTTGGGGATTTTCTCTTTTATTTTTCTTCTTCTTAATAATCCCCAATGCTTCCCTCTCATGTCAAAGAATCCAGATGATGGGAAGTGTACAGAGTGCCTGAGTGTTAGCCCCCGCCTAACTTGACCTACCCACCACTAAATTATAACTGGCGTCTGAGAATGCAACTGCAGATGCAGCCGATGCTCGGAGAAAATTGCCCCTCCAACATCGCCTTGCTTGACCAAACTGTGCCCAAACTCAAGCCTCCATCTCAACTGCTCAAAGATAGAATCATAGCCCTCCATGGATTCTTTTGTCGATCTCAATGACGGGTCCCAGGCATTGGACCTGTCGCGTATCCGATACCAGCTCATGTATGTGCGCTAATGGTCTCTCCTCTCATACTCACATGCACTTGACTCACCAGCTGGCAGTCGACTGGAAGATACCATCATTTTCGCTCTCATTGAGCGTGTGCAGTTCGCCGTAAACAAGGTATGCTGTATACTCTCATTATTTCTCTGCCATAACCAGAGCACGCAAATCGCTCACAATCTCCCGTGCAGACAATATACGTGCCCGGCGCCCTCGACATCCCCAACAGCAAGCTCAGCTTCTTTGACTGGTACATGAGCGAGCAGGAAAAGCTCCAGTCCCTCATCCGTCGCTACGAGTCTCCTGACGAGTACCCCTTCTTCCCCCAGGCCGTGCAGCAGCCCATCCTCAAGCCCCTCAGCTACCCCAAGATCCTCCACGCCAATGACGTCAACGTCAACGACAAGATCAAGGCATTTTACACGGACAAGTTCCTCCCCGCCGTCTGCCCCGACTTTGGCCACGGCGACCGTGGCGAGACGCAGGAGAACTACGGCTCGGCCGCCACCTGCGACATTGCCTGCCTCCAGGCGCTGTCGCGGCGCATCCACTTTGGCAAGTTCGTCGCCGAGAGCAAGTTCCGCTCCGAGACGGAAAAGTTCACCGCCCTCATCAAGGCCGGCGACCGCAAGGGCATTGACGAAGCCATCACCAACCGCGCCGTCGAGCTGCAAATCTTCGAGCGCCTGCGACTCAAGGCGCGCACGTACGGCAAGGATCCCGGTCTCAAGGAAGGTTCCGAGTCGCATATCAAGATTGATGTCGACGCTGTCGCCGCCATGTACGAAAAGCATGTCATTCCGTTGACGAAGGAGGTTGAAGTAGAATACTTGATGCAGCGCCTGGAGCCTGCTCCATAGTCAACAGTACAGGGGATGATGAGAGGCCCTGCTGTCATTATATATACAAAATCTTATCTTCTATTTTGGTCCGTTTTTTCTCTATTGGTCGGGGTTGATATATTCTTTGACTGCCTTGATAGCTTCCTGAAATTTGGGTGCTTCAATAAGAATCATGTGTCCTTGGGCCTTGATGCCCATCTCTTGGAACGCCCGCTTGCTGTCAGCAACCGCATCGCCCTCTTTGGTGTAGGCGAATCCACCAAAAGCAGTCGCATGTTTTTGTAGCACTTCGTCTTCGGGGTGGAAATAGAAGGTGGAAGCCTCTTCCTTGGCTTTCTTCTTTTTCCGGTCCTCAACGTCGAGCGTCGACTCGACTTCGGTATAAGTGCGGCTCAGAATGAGGTAGTGCGAGAACTCGTAGGGCTCCTTGTCCTCGACAGCGGCCTCAATCTCGTCGATCAGCATCGAGTACATCGGCGGGGCAATATCGGAGGGCATGTTGATGAAGCGCTCGGAGAAGATGAGGCCAATGTGCTTGTTGGCATTGATCAGCTCCGCGACGGGAGCCAGGGCCGCATTGGTGCCAGCTTTTTGGACCAAGTATTGCAGAACTTCTTTGAAGGTTTCGGCGTCCTTGTGCACTGCGGTATTCAGAATAGAGAGCATGGCGTATGCGTCGGTGTTTTTGCCGTCGATCTTGACAGTTGACCCGATTGTCGGTTGCGACAGGACGAGGTCGGCGAGAAATGACATGGTGAAGAGGTTGGCGTCGACGTCAAAGAGTTGGCGCAGCAGTGACTTGACACCGTGGAAGTCAATTTCGGGGTCGAAGTTGAACCATTCAAAATCAACGTCGACCATGTCGAAATCCTAGCCGAATTGAAGTCAGTAGGTATACAGACAGGGTTTGGGTGGTGGCCACCAGCGACTTACGGATTCATCGCTGCCGTCCTCGTCCATCTTGTCGGCAGCCTTGTCAGGGCCGCCGGACAGGCCGTCTTGTTCTCTGGAGCGTTTCTGGCCCATCATGAACTAGTTCGGAGTGTAATGAGGGAAAAGAATATTGTAATTGCTGGAGAAGAAGTGTTTGAGCCAGACTGTGCGAGCTCTGTATATTTTTATTTTTTTTGGCTGGGCTGCCCCGCACTAGGCCTGATCGGGGCGGCCAACTTGGAGCAAGCCGTTGTCATTGCAGTTGTAAGGAAGAGGCAGAGAATTGAGGAAAATTGAACGACACATGGTCAGAGTAATAGATAGAAAGTATCTAGTACGTGTAAGAATTCGTTTAGGGGAGGTCACTTATCTAAGCAATTGGCCTGCGGAGGCTACAACAGTGTTGGACAGGCAAGGCGACAGTGGACAGTGGGCAGGCAGGCTCACAGTGACGGCTCGCACGACCTCTGTTTGCGATATAGTAGGTAGGTAGGTACCTACCTAGGTACCTAGGTAGTTGTCCCTCACGTCTACTACGTTTGCAAGAAATTTAAATATCCATCATGCGCCGAGTTCCATTGCAGGCTTATTACACTATAGGAATACATATTTTATCCTAGATCTTGTTCTAGCCATCCAAAAAAAACTGCCTCCTACCTACCAAGGTACCTACAAAGGTACCGAGCTAGGTACCTCCAAACGTCGTGGCAGGTTCGCCCGCTCTTGGTCTGGTCAGGCCAGAAAGCTCCGCCGAGCGACCCGCCTACAGCTCGTCCCATCCACACCCAGTTGCCAACTTGACCAGCCTCTCAACTTGCGTCACGGAGCACCACCGCAGGGCTCAATTACCACACCTTAACACGCCGGTACGCATTGCCACCTGTCCGCTTGCCTCGCGCCAGGCGCTCGCCCAACTCATACGTACGGCGACGATACCCTCCTCTCCCGCTCACCACGCGCCGGACCGTTCCCGACGGCATTGACAACTCCGCACTAGCCATAGCCATCCCTGGGTCGTCATTGAGCCATGGACTACAGCGCATCCATCCACGAGTCTGACGATCCGGTGGGAGCTTCGCCCTGGGGCAACTCTCCCACCTCTTCGCCCAAGAGAAACCCGCCTTCCTTTGCCAGCCTCCCCCAGGAAACCTCCTCGTCCTCGTTTCCCTTCTCGTCGCAAGACTCCAACAGCCTAGGCAGCCCAGCTCTCGGCGCCGACGGCTTCCAGCGACCGGGCACTGCCACCACGGCCTCGGAGACGGAAGGCGAGACCGATCACGAAACGGTCCAGGGCCATGAAGAGTCAGAGGCTAGCCAGACGATAGAGTCCCAGCCCGCTCCGCCAGTGCAGCACCACCAACTGCCTCAGCACTCTGGCCTCGCGCCACAGGGGTACGAGTCTGCGTCCATTCACGGCTCCATCCCCCCTTCGGAGGGACAGGTTCACAAGCCGGTGCAGCCTCAATACAGGTTGCAGGCCAAGATTACTGGCCTGGAACGCACCGGCAAGAAAGACCCGCTGCTACGATTTGACATCTACGTACGTGCTCGGCGATCGGCTCTGCTTACAGACTACTAACAACGTATAGACTAACCTTCCTCGATTCCGCACATCCCAATATCGTGATGTCCGCCGCCTGCACTCCGAGTTTGTAAAGCTTGCCGAGCACCTCATCTCCGCCAACCCCGATGCCTTTGTACCAGCCGTGCCACCAGCCGTTACTTCAGCGGGAGCGGGGACCGACGAGGACGAAACTCGAGTCAAGGCTTTGATGCAAAGGTGGTTCAACTATGTTTGCAACAGCGAGATCTTAATGAGAGACGACGAGATGATACTCTTTGTCGAGTCGGACTTTGGCTACAGCCCATTGGTCAAGATGAAGCAGCCTGCCACGGGTGTTCGCCGAAAGATTCTCAAGCAGTTTGCCCCGCCACCCGACGATACGCCCGAACTCGCCGATGCACGTCCTGCCGTCAAGCTATTCTACCTAGGCACCATGGATGCCGGGCACAAGGTCGATAAACTGGTCAAGGCCAGACGAGGTACTTCTCGCCACGATATCACTACATCTGCAACACTAACAAGCCTTGTACAGGTCTTGGTCTGGCCGAGTCTGATTTTGGGGTCAAGCTTGGAGGGATGCATGTTCAAGAACCCCACCCTGGTTTAGCCAATGCCTACAGAAAGCTGGGCAAAGTCATTCAAAATGTGGGAGACTACCATGCCGCGCAGGCTACTGCCGAGGCATCCACAATCGGGGACCCATTCCAATATCACTCTCAGGATGCCTTTATCGTCAAGGAAACCCTGACGAACCGACAAATCCTTACCAGAGAGTTTATTCAGGCTCAAGAAGCTACGAGAAGCAAGCTCAATGCTGCAGATCGCCTCAAGACTAGCAGCAGCGTACGCCGTGAAAAGGTTGACGAGGCTATTGCAGCTCTTGACGATGCGCGTGAGACGGAAGCCTATCTGTATAGCAAGACCCACAGGGTAACGCAGAACTTGCTTCAGGAGCGCCGGAAGTGGTTCTCACGGACAGCTACCGATTTGCGTCTTAGCATCAGGGAGTTTGTTCTGCGCGAGATTGAGGCCGAGAGACGCACGTTATCCGTACTAGAGAGCGTCCGCGCCGACATTCGCGCGATTGACGCATCGGGCGGCCTAAGCCGACTGGGCCGTGAAGCTCATCCTGTGATCCGCCGCACCAGCCTAGCCGCCAGCCAAGGCCCCAAGGGCGACGCGTGGAGCGGCGTGCCGCGCCGCGTAGACACGGCGAACCGCAGCACCTCGTCGAGCTTCATGGGCAAACTGCCTGAGGACAATGAGGCTGACGACGCGCCGCAGGACGCCGCCGCCGGCGGGCGGGCCAGTCTGGCCGGCGTGACCGAGGAGGAGGACGATGACCGCATCGATGCCAGAAATGCCGCGAGCCGTCTGGCGACGAGCACTTTCTGAGCACATGAAATACGTAGAAAATATGTGCTACATCTCATTATTGCGAAGGATAGGTCAAGTCGAGCGAGGGCGACCTCTTCGCCCAATGTTAAATTAGCCATAATGGACTTTTTTGGAGCTGAAATCGGTGCGTGTTTTTGAAGTGACGGTGAGCCAGACGTCGTGGTATCAGCGCCGCGTATGTGTTGGTTGTTTTGAGTGACCTCCTCCAAGCTTTCGTGGTGAGAGATACAAAGCCGCTGAAGTAATTAGCTGTGCAATGTCGTTTCTTTACCACAACCACCAGCCTACCTCTTCCACGTCATTCCAGACTACAAATCCTGCGCACTACAAGTTGCTAAAAATCTCCCCAACCCGTCATTAGTTAGCCTGTAGTCAACGAGTGCGGTACAGATAAGTGCCCATTCCTCCAGAGTGTTCCGGGTAGCAGCGTGGCGCGGATCGGTCACAAACTTTGCCGGGCCCGGTTGTGCGGGTACTTGAGACAAAATAGCTGACGTGTTTCTCAATACTCGCGGCCATAGATTAGCTGGGAGATCGTCAGACTGAAGTCCAACTTCAATCCTACGGATTTAGATACCTATCTGAAGGTCGTGTGTTCGAGTCACACTGGCCGCAAGTTCTTTTTGCCGGGGCCGCCCACTCTAGTTAGGTGGTAACTCTACATAGTAGTTAGGTGGGTTTTCCGTTGGGGGATTCAATGATGGGCTGCTTGCTGTCCCCTGTCTGACATGCTGGTCTGGACAGGCGCACATGTGTACTTCACAGTTGCCATTGGCTTTGTGTCTTCTTAGTTTCTCCTCCTTTTTTCTTTTCAGTTTAGTTATGCCTGGAAGTTTATTGACACTATGACATATAACACGACTGTCTTGACCAAGCGGACCAAACCGAGCTAGACAGACCATAACAAGTCTAACAAGTTAGTCGGCAATTTCATAAGCAGCTTCCCGATAACTATGCCACCTCACTCTATGGCACAGCCGACCCAAAATTGAACGTGTGCAGCAGGTGCAGCAGCCCTTTTTTTTTTCTTTGCCAAGTCACGAGCCCGTTTAGGAATGGCCGCGGAAAGCAGCACTGTCCTTTACATTGGCGTCCTGGTCTAGGATGTTCGAGAAGAGGGACGCGAGATGGAAATCGAATGGCTGACTTCCGCCGAGCAATACCGGGGGTCCCGGCCTTGCGAACTGGCAACCGGCAGGGCATTTGAGTGTTGTTTGGCGCCCATAATATGTGAGGAGGCTAATATCCCTAGCAACTACCCACTCAAGACATACTTCAGAAAAATAAAAACAAAAAGGTGTGAGGCCCGAAACCTTAGTACCTAGCTATTGAACAGCATTCTCCAGGCCCTGGCACCGTCGGGTCTTTTTCTGCCGTTATGAGCGACCAAAGGTAGACAAAGAGCCTAGTACATGCATCGTGTAATCGGTTCAATCGTTGTGCCGAAGCGGCGAGGGTAGTTGCATAAATACATCTAATCCGAGATTTGTTGCGGCATTGGCAAAAAAATAGACTTCTGAGAGTGTACACACACAGTGGCGGCCACTAGATATGTTACCGAAAAGCAAAATTGGCCCTATGTATAAGGCGAAATAAGCCGCTCGGAAATAACTCGGCGGCCATAGATTAGCTGGGAGATCGTCAGACTGAAGTTCAACTTCAATCCTACGGGTTAGATACCTATCTGAAGGTCGTGTGTTCGAGTCACACTGGCCGCATTCTTTTTTCTTTTTTTGCCTATTTTTGCCTCTTGATACGACTTGGACGCTTGGTAAAGAATACTTGCAGAGTTTTTGTTTTCGTCTCTTTATCCTAGTTAGCCACTGGTGGAAAGTGCTCTGATACGAGCACATGGTGTACAAATACAGTGCCATTTGTAACTAGACTAATATAAGACTCTAGTTTAAGAGTCTCGTGTTGATAATCAATTCCATGCAACCCTGTCAAACGCCATGCCATGTTTGCTTCTTAAATCTCAGAATCCATGAATCAGAATCACGGTTGCTTTACAAGAGCAGGTCATTAGTGTTGGAATGCGAAAATGTCGGCGTACCAGGATACTCCGCTCGTCTCTGTTGTGTGTTCCTGTACCCATCCACGATGGCGAATTTCTTGCCCACTTCGCGCACCTGGACGATACTCTGCATGAGGGTACTTAAAAGGTTGATGGTATCAACATCATTCTTCTCCGAGACCATTTCGTTGTTGAAAGACTCGTCATCCGAGGGAATCACCAGTCCGAGACGGCCGGTGAGTGCCTTGATCTCCCGCAAGACTGTCAACGAAGGCGTCACTGTAGACGCGTCGGTATCCATGGAACTTCCATCTGCCGCCTCTTTAATGGACGAGGGGGTTGGGAGACTGTCGAGATACGCGGTAAGAAGCTGGATCCTGGATTGAAGCATCTTGACAGCGTTGGCTTTGGCAGTAAGGGCAGCGAGCGTTTCCTCTTCTTCGCGTGTGAGTGTAACACCGGATTCCTCGTCCTGAGGAATATCGACAGAGCCCTCTGGCTCACTTTCGACAAGACGACGCTTGCCCTTGCCGTTTGACTCTACAGATCGCGATGGCTGCGCGTCCTTGGAGGCAACAGCGGCGGCATTACCCCCACCACTGGCGATATAGTTCATGCTTATCATCTCTGTCTCATCCGTCTCAACAGAGTACGGGACTTCTCGGAATCTGAGTCTCAGAGGCGGTTCTCCGTCATCCATTTTCTTGTCTTCACCATCGTGGTCGGACTTTGATTCGTCCGCTTCGTAGTTGCTTTCGTATATGGTAAGTGGCAGCTTGCCGCCAAAAGAGTGATTAAGAACTTCCCGGGGGTGGAAGCCCAGAAGAACCGCAGACTCGTTCCAGCCTTGCAAAATCTGGTTGTGAATAGGTAGGATGGTCGGTGTTGGCCCCTCTGCTGGCAGCAGCGTGTACCACCCGACAAAGTCGAGCTGTCGATCCTTGTGAACGGTAGTCACTACAGCTAGCGTTAGAACTGGAAGAGCTGATTGCAGATGAAAAGAAGGAAAGAAAAACGTACTTTGCTCTAGTCTACCAGTGAACTTGGCACCATCGAGTAGGTAGCCGCCCTCCTCGTTTGGCGCTTCCACCAGGTGGCAGTCAAAGGCATGTTCGATGGTGATGTCGCGACCATTCTGTTGGCCAAGAAGGGCGCCAATGATTGGTACAGACTGTTGGCGTAGAGTATGGCGCGTAATATAGTCGGAGATTGTAAGCAGCACCAGCGGATGGAGGACAGCATGGAGCTGCGAGCTCCTCTGGCTCGAAATGAGGGGGTTGGCACTGCTAGCCTCCATGATTGCTGGCGTATTCAGTGCAGGGCCGTTTTTTTGTGTCTCTGCTTGAAATGGGTGGGTGATGGAACCTCGAAGGGACTGTTGAGAACGGGAGATGTAGAGGTGAAGCTTGGATGAGCACAAGTTCGCCCCGCGCAGCTGCCTTCCTTCCGCGCTACTACGGGGGAGAAAGTGCCCCACCAACTCATTAACCAGTTGTCGTAAACAGGTGTTAATAAAGAAGGCACGCACGAAATAATATAGCTTAAAAGGACCATACTGTTCAAATTTTTGTATTATTGTATGAGATCTAGAGTTGGGTATTTAAAATGAAGAAAATAAAACAAAAACGCTGGGCAATGACCCCCCCTGCCGCTCGTGTAAGTCGGCCTCATTTTGATACATGATATTATGCGAGTCGTTAGCTTTTGACTTCCCTTTGGTCTTCAGGATCGACAGTCTTTGCTTCAGAATGCTTCTTGATGGATTTCCACTCGATACCAAGAGATGATAACAACTGAGCGGCGGTGACGGCTAGGCAAGCAATGAAGATGCGCGTGACGGCGTAATTGTAGGCTTCTACAACGTGGCCAAAGTATTGTGGCGAGACAACCGAGTGAAGCTCTGTGGCCCCGGTGTTGATGATCTTATTGGGGTCCAGACCAGGAATGCCCGAAAGGCGGGAAATGAGGACGGTGCTCAGAATGGTCTGACCAACAGACACGAAAATGGCACCGCCGAGCTGCTGGGCAAAAAAGCAGATCGCCATACCGGTGGCAACATCTTTCTTATCGACGGTAGGTAGCCTGGACTGCCAGGGTGGACGACTGAAGGCCAAGACCGACGCCGAAACCGGCGAGAAACTGATAACCAATCCAGTGAGGCGAACCAGTCTGGGGAGTAAAAGTAGTGAGTAGACCCTCAGCGATGAGCATAACGCAAGGACTAGAAATCATGGCGGGGACATAGTAGCCGCTCTTTTGTGTAATGATGCCGGAAACGATGGAGGCAACCACGAGACTCAAGACGAGCGGAATAGTGTAGACGCCGGACTTGACAGGTTCAACGCCGTGAGTAGTTTGGACTAGGAAGAAGTTTAGCGTTTGAAACCGTGAGAGAGGAGTGTAAGCGACGTACACCAAAGGGGAATATAGTAGACAAGCATCATCATGCTTCCCGCCAAAAACAGCATAAAGCAGGTGGCAAAGGCCATGGTGCGCTGCTTGATCAGGTGCCAAGGAAGAGAGGCAGATTGAGGCATCTTGTACTGGACTGTGCCAAAGGCAAGGGCGCCAATGGCAAAGCAGACGAAGAGAAGAATGATGCGCCAGTTGCTCCAGGCATAGGTAGATCCACCCCACTGAAGGGCAAGTAAAAGGCTGACGATGGTTGGGATAAAGAGTGTTGTGCCGACAGGGTCGAGCCTGGCAAGTTTTGTCTTTTGGGGCAGATCCATCAGCTTCGACTTGGGGAACTCGAAAAAGTAGAGAAAGACGAAGGCGACAACGCCGATAGGCAGGTTCATGTAGAAACACCAGCGCCAGGTGGCATGCTCGGTGAAGGCGCCGCCAATCAGGGGACCGGCCACAGAGGCGATGCCAAAGACCATGCCAAACATGGACTGGAACATGGGACGCTTGTGAAGAGGCACGAGGGGAATAATGGTCATCATGGAACCGGTCATGATGCCGGCGGAGCCCAGACCGGCAATGGCACGGCCAAGAATGAAGACGGTGGACGAAGGGGCGGCGCCGCAGATGGCGGAGCCAATTTCGAAGAGCACAATGGAGACAAGAAATGTCCACTTGAGGTCGTAGAAGCTGTAGATGCGGCCAAAGAGCAGCTGAAAAGCTGCCGTGGTCAGCATGTAGGCGGAGCCGTACCAGCCAATATCGCCCTGGCTCTTGAAGTCGTCGGTGATTCGGGGCACGGCCGTGGCAATGATGGTGCGGTCGAGTGCGACGAGGAACATGGAGGTAAAGGTCGAGAGTAGGACAAGCCAAAACTTGAGCGTCTTTGGTTTGTACAGCTCATCATCTCTGGTGGGCACTTTTTGTAGAGCGTCGGGGCTGGTCTCGTGGACGGGGGCGTGTTGTTCCTTGTTGGCCGCCTCCATGGTGGTCTCAGAGGAGAGGGTGTGTTGCGAGTGCGCAGAGGAGATGGGTTGCGTTGACGAGTTCATTGTCAGGGTCGTCCAAGTAGGGAGTGATCCGGCAATGATGGTGGGATAATGTAGCAAAGATCCAACGAGAGAGAAGAGTGTCGTGGTTGGGGGGGATAGTTATATAGGTATATAGGTCCATGATGTCGGTCAAGGTAGAATGCCGACGACCGGGACTTAAGCAGTCTCATAGCCGAGAAAGTTTGTGCGGGCGGCCCCATCGCAGGCTGTATTGTGGCTGCTGGCATTCTGTTTGTTTCCGACGCTAACTGGGTTCTTTGATTCTGGAAAAAGGAAACAGAGACGGGCAAGGCAAGGCGGCAACATCTTCAGCTCGGGTGCGAGACGAGAACTTTTTGACCGATGGCGCTAAACCGGATTGGTGTTTCTTTCCTTGTCTACCTACCTACTGTGCGAACAGGGGGGGTGTGACGGGTGTGACACGAGTAGGTAGTCCGTAGTCCGAACAGCGGGCGCTACAAGCAATAAACGCAACGAACAAGCAACGGTTTATAATTTAGCAAACGCTCTCTACTAGTACCTAGGTACAGGACGCTCTCCTGAAAAAGGTAAAGAACATGGTCAATTCATTCTTCCAACTTGAGCTGTTGATTTTCATTTTACTGAGTCTCGTTGGTCCTAGTTACTGTACATGCATACATCCGTACTTCGTAACTAGTTCCCGCTAGTAAATTTTGGTCTCCACCGGAAACTCCCCGCTCGGGACCGAACAAGATGTCTCGCACCCGGCTTCAACTTCAATCCTCGGTCTTGTCTTCGACAACCCGCTGCCAAGCATACCGCGTACGCTAGAGCCGCGTCCCTGCCATGCATCTCAGCCTTATGACGCATTCTCGATGCAGCCGTGCCTGAGTTTCTGCCTGTATGGTAGACGCGTGTACCCTCTAGAGGCTTGTGCAATCCACACCATAGCCACCAGTCTCTCCCGCCCGCTCATCTCGCGCCGGTTGCCTGCGTGCATCGCAGCTCGCTGAGCTGATCAATATACCCGACCATGAATTCGCAAGGCCAAGCCCCGGTCCCGAGCGTGGGACCACCATCGAACCCACAGCCAGACTTTTCCGCCATCAAGTTAACGCGCGGTACCAGCTGCGTCCTGTGTCAACAGCGCAAGGTGCGGTGCGACAAGCAAAAACCCTGCTCCAACTGCGTCAAGGCCGGCGCCGAGTGTCGCGTCGTACCACCGCTGCCGCCCCGGCGCCGCAAGAAGCGTTTGCAGGAAAGAGACCTCTTGGAGCGACTCAAAAAGTACGAGGACCTCCTGCGGCAACACAACATCAAGTTTGATGCCTTGGACCACGACGCCAAATCGGAAGCTACCCTAGAAGACGTGGATGAGTTGGAGAATGACTTCGAAAATCTCAAGACCAGCCAATCCGAGGGCGATTATGCGTCGTCACTCCACGCTCGTGGCGCACGCTGGAAGCTTGGTTCCTTTCTCAAGATGCACAATAAATCAGTACGGACCCGATCCATCTCCATGCCAATCCGTTGCTTGCTGACCGACTCCTAGTTCCACGCCCATGACCGCCTCTTGAACGACTCGTCCGATGACGAGGCTGACTATCCCACCATCTACAAGGCCTTTGACAAGATGTTCACGAACCGAAACCCCTTCCCCTTTCTCATTAGCGATCAGGAGATTGCGCTCGTCGAATATCGCCCAACTACCATACAAATGTTTCAGCTCTGGCAGGTCTACATTGACAATGTGAACCCCCTCTTGAAGCTCACGCACGTTCCTACCATCCAACAACAAGTCATTGCCTACTCCGGTAACCCAGATGAGTCGCCCAAAAACATGGAAGCGTTAATGTTTGCCATCTGTTTGATGGCAGTCTCATCTCTTGACGAGCAACAAGTACAACAGCGCTTGCAAGCCGACAAGCAAGAGTTGCTCGGCCAATTCTTTGCCGGTTTGCAACAAGCGCTCATCAATGCCAACTTTATGCGAACCTCGGATATTGTGACTTTGCAGGCCTTTCTTCTTTACATGGTCCGTGCAACACACTTTCCTCGCAGCGTCCCTGCTTACTCTTCATAGTTGGCCATCCGTTGGTTCCTCGATCCCCGGCACGTCTTTTCCATCATGGGCTTGATGGTGCGCATGGCTCACCACATGGGGTTGCATCGGGACCCCGCTGGCCAAGGCCTAAATGCCTACGAAGGCGAACTACGGCGCCGTCTTTGGTGGTCTATCGCAGCGTATGATCGACGCATTGGCGAAATGACTGGCGCGGCCGTGACGGCACTGGCAGTGCCCAATGACACCCGCATACCACTCAACATCAACGACGCCGACTTGTATGTCGAGCAAGCCGAACCGCCCATCGCCCACAGGGGTGCGACCGAAATGATGTTTGCACTGATTCGAGCAGAACTTGCCATGGCAACGCCCGATGACTGGGATCGCGACTTTCAAGGAACGCAACCTACTGAGCAACCGGCTGGTCGGGTTATGATCAGGCTATTTGGAAAAGACAAGAAGACGTACACAATCGACGGGTTTTGCGCCCACATCGAAGGGACATATCTAGTCCACTGCGACCCTAACATTCCCTTTCACTTCTTTACCCTCACAATGACGCGTCAGTCGCTTAGCCGGCTACGTGTCATCACCTATCTTGTTCGGCTCGCACACGGACACACTTCAACGACTGACGAAGTCGACCGCGAGTTTTTGTTCGTGCAGGCCACGCAGATGCTGGAGCACGACAATATCCTGCAATCCCGCGACAGCCTCAAGTGCTACCGCTGGTTCACGCACCACCACTTCCCCTTTCCGGCCTACATGTTCCTCGTCAACGAGCTCCGGTTCCGGCTGACGGGCCCTGAGGTGGACCGCGCCTGGGCGAGCATTGCCATCAACCACTCGCTGCGCGGCATGATGAACGGCCTACACTCGCCCATGCACCTGGCCTTTGGTCACCTCTTTGTCAAGGCGTGGAAGGCGCGCGAGACGGCCCTGCGCGAGCAGGGCCACCAAGCCACGCCACCCAGCTTCATCGTCGTGCTGCAAGAGTTTGTCGAGAGGCGGCGCCGCGCCAGGGAGCAGAACCTGCCCGACCCCCTCGAAGAGCCGCCCGAGGTGTTGACGGTCCCCAAGCCGTCGCCGACGGCGTACAGCACGCCGGGCTCGCACAGCGACAGCGGCATCGGCAAGATGACGCCCATAATGGCCAACTCACCTACTGGTGCGCCGATGCCCGCACCGGGACAGGGGCCCAACCTGGAAGATACGGATATGGACTGGTCGTACATTTTGTCGGGATATCAAGACGGATCCATCTTTCAGAATTTTAACAGTTTTAATTTCGGCGACCCTACAGCCGGGGCGGGCGGCATGGGAGGTATGGGTGGTATGGGTATGAATATGGGCGGTGGGCCGAACATGTTCGGCAACTGATACGTTGTTATACGATTAAAGGAACTGGATTGGATACGGCGTTTTGGCGTTTTGAGAAATCTCTGCGTGCTATGGCACGATGTTGTATAGAGGACGTATACGAGGGCGATCCTCACTCTACTCTACTTATTACTCGGACATTTATGATCATACTTGTCATACTTGTCATGAATATCCTTCTTATTTCATTCACTACTCATGAAAGGTATCTATTAGTGGATATACCGTTTATATAGGTAGCGCTCAGGAAAAAAAGTTAGATTTTGACCACCTCTCAGTCTCGTAGGATGCCGATATGCACCACAAAGCCGGCGCTCGGCCGCAGCGCCTCGGGCAGCTTGTCATCGGGCACGCGCCAGACGTAAAAGGCCTCGACAAACGCCGCGAGCCAAGTCCGGAAGACGTCGTCGTTGCGCAGCTGCTGCGCGACGATGCACAGACTCGGCCGAGGACCGCTGCCCCCATCGGCGCCCGCCTCCTCCTCCTGCTGCTGCGTCCGGCGGCGACATGCCTCGGCGCACGTCTGCACGAGCGGGGGGATCAGCGCATAGTTGTACACGCAGTCGACGGCGAGCACGGCGTCGTAGCTGCGGCGGGCGGGCAGGCTGTCCGTCTCCCAGTCGAGCGTCGCAAACGCAATGTTGGATGCTGGCCGGAGGGGGGGCTGCTTGTCGGGTTTGGATCTGCGTGCGGCGGTCCGAGACGGGACGGTGTTCTCGTCGAGGTTGCGCTGCACGAACCGCTGCACGTACGCCTGGTCCGTCAGCGTGTGCGAGGCGACGCGCGGCGCGAGCGCAAAGGCGTTGAGCGGCGAGATGCCGCACCCGAGCTCCAGCACGGCCGAGGTGCCGTCGAGAAACGGCGGCGAGGCGCGGAAGAGAAAGTTGGCCGGGCTGGCGAGCCAGTCGGCGAACACGGGCGAAATTTTCCACAAGACTTTGCGGGGGGGGAGCGCGCAGGTTTCCTTCGTGTTAGCACGTTTTTGGGTGAAAATCGAGGAAGGGGGGCGGGCCGTGGTACCGGCGCCGGTGGTGCCGCCGGCGCGGTTCGAGGACAGCACGCCGGGGGACTGGTGGATGGTGTAGTCGGCGCCGCCGACGCGCGCCTCGACGGTGCTGGCGCGGGGATCGACGAAGCCCAGGTTGGACGAGGGGATGGGCTGCGAGTAGAGCAAAAAGGTTTCTGTGCGCGCGTTAGGAGGGGGGGCGAACAAGTTGGGTATGGAGAGATGAAGAAAAGAGTTGGCATGCGAACCTTCTTCGGGGTCCTCAATCTCGGGCTCGAGGATGGACGCGAATCGCTCCGCATACGTCATGTCGGCGTGTATGAGTTGAGTAAAATGGGTAGTGAGTCAGATGAGGAAGATTTTAGAATAAATATGGTAATGAAGATAAGAGATAAGAAGAAAGAAAGGTGAGTAGGATAAGAAGAAGGAGAAAAGTCAGAGAAAATAAAGTCTCATGAAGGATAAAAGAAAAACGGATAGTTCATTGTGTCGGCCTAAGCAACCAGTGTTGCTTTCCACTTGTAGGCGGTGTGCCCTGTATTAAGGTAGTTCGTTGGTGACGATTTAAGGAACACAGCAACCACTGGCAGTGAGTCTCATTGTACTCGAATATTGAATCATGGTGCTGAGCTCATGTCACGTTTGCTACATTCTTCGCGACGACTCTCACTCACAAGCCTCTACATATGATATGGCACATCTCCGTGACAAGTTAAAATGACATCAAATCCAATCAACTAGCTGACGAGCCAAGCCGCGTTGCACCTGCTTTGCTATTTTTTTCTCTATGTACAAAAGGTTTGCAGTGAGCTGTCGCGGCTTACACGAGTCCGTCGTAGAGGGAGAGGGCCGAGACAATGGTCTCGTCACGTTTGCTGCCCTCCTTGAACTCTTCAAGATCCAAGCTGCCGTTCTCGTCCTTGTCCATCATGCGGAAGATCTTGCGGACACGCTTCTCGGGCGTGTCTTCGTCTTCGGGGAGCTTGACCATGGAGCCGACCTAGAGGACTGTTAGTCTGGTTCATATGCTTGGCAGGGGTGGTGGTGCGTACCATTTTGTAAATGGCTTCAACAATTTGGAGCATTTCGTCGTAGGTAATCTTGCCATCGCGGTCAATATCGTAGAGCTGAAACGCCCAGTCGAGCTTGTCCTCCATCTTGCCCCGGCTGGTAACACTCAGGGCACAGATAAACTCCTTGAAGTCAATGGTACCGGAGCGGTCGCTGTCGAAGACGTTGAATACATAGTCGGCAAAGGAGCTCGGATCACCAAAGGGGAAGAACTGGCGATAAATCTTCTGGAACTCCTGTTTGCTTAGCAGGCCTGAGGGGCAGTCCTTGAGGAAGCCTGGAGCATGTTAGATGGTTTGCAGGTCGAGATGAGACTCAGGATGAGACGCAGGATGGATGAATGCAGGGTGCCAAGCACAACATACCCTTGTACCATTGCTGCAGCTCCTTCTTGTCAAAATGAGTCGACTTTTGCAGCTCGAGGAGCTGTTCTTGAGAAAGTTTTGACTGCCTACAAGGGACACCGAGGTACCACAGACCGAGGTTAGCGCATGTTGGCGGTGCATCCTAAGGTATTATGTATGTGCAAAATGCCTTGGGCAGCGAAGCTGCGGAATGACGTCCACGGCGGCTAGCAGGGCCCTTTGGGGATGCGTGGCGCACCTCTGAGACCTCTGAGGGGTAGCCAACACAGGCCCCAGCGGTAGCGCCGGCCGCGCACCAGCGAGGGCAGCCAGCGCCATCACGGGCGGGACGAGCGAGTCCATGTTCAGAGCACGCAGCCATGGAAGACGGGCAGCGACTCACGATTTTCCCATCTTGTCTGGTTTTTTCGGTTCTGCAGTCGTCTAGTCTAGGCTGAAATGAGATGTCGCGAGACGGCGCGGAGGGGTATGGCAGGTATGGCAGGGCCGGCGCCGATGCGGCAATCGATGGACCGGATTCGACGAGGTGCGGGCGTGGGCCTGCGCGATACGTGTCAGTACTACGAGGTTCGGAGTCGACGGCGACGCGATGCAGCGAGTTTGTTTACCGTAGAAGCGCAAGGTATGGAAGGGTTCGCAGTGTCGTGGGGGTCGACGGAGGGGTCGGTCCGAGAAGAGAGCGGCGGGCGGGGGAATGCAGTTGTAGGAAAGCTGTCGTTGGAAAGAGCGAAAACAAGGACGCGCTCAGAAAGGGAAGAAAGATCAAGGTTCGCTTTAGGTCGTGTGAATTTCTAAGGGTTGGATAAGAGTCGCGAAGGAAGGAGAATGTTTTCTGGGGGAAGAAGGGTGCTGAGTGATGTGGCGGAAACAATTACGAAACAAGAGGGACTTGGGCCAGTGAGGGGAGTGAGGGGGACAGGACAGCACTTAGCAAGGTACTACGAAGTACTCTACCTGTATTGGCGGGCGGCTGCCTACCTGGTACGTAACTTAGTAGTATTCCCAGTAGGCTAGAGTCTAGAACAGCCAGGCACAGCGATACTCCCACTGGCGCGCCTGGGAATTGTTTTATTAGGAATGAATTAATACAAGTTACAATTCTACAATCCAATCAACATTTACAACATTCAACCAGTCCATGCGCAAAACTCCACACCACGCCTTCCGTTGCTCTTAACAGACACCACTGTATTACCAGTGACGAATACTTTTGCAACAATTTATTATCAAAGCCCATGCACATGCACAACATAACACAGTTATAACTTCCGTCCGAGGCACACTCTCCACAAAATAAGCGTGCCGCTCCCTGCTGCCAAATGCACGACCGCTGCTGACGCCTACCACCACCAACCACAAGTCCAAGTCTCTGAAGCTCAAACAATGAATCTATTCTTCTTCTAGTAAATAATGTATAATGCAAAAAAAAAAAAAAAAAAAATTACGCTGAAAACACCTGCCCCCCCAAAAAAGAACAAAGAAATCAAGCCCCAGAACGTCGTGCGCCACTGTTGGCTCCCTCACTCAACCTCCACCATTGTCGCCTCGATCGCAGCACTGCCACACTCGTCTCGTCATCCCTGCTCAACCTGCCAGCTTGCCCAAGTAAGGTACTACATAGGTCCTGGTTTGTCCTTGGCAGGGGATCGCCGCCTCATTCTTCTATTTGTTTCCTTCATCCCTGCTCGCAGAACAAGCCACACCCGTCGGCCAAATGTCATCTCGTTATGTAAATGCCGGATATGCACTCTTCATCAATGTCCGTACTGCTGCTAATGCTCCAACATGGTAAAACACAATCCCCAGCGACTCCGTAATGATTACCCGCCTGCCTGCCGCTCGTGATGCCATTCAAACTGTCCAATACACAAATACAAAAATATTTCCTGTCTCGCGCCGTGCGCCATGTCTTGCAAGAAAAAAAAAGGCCACCAAAGGAGCTTGACAAGAACAATGCGACAAACTCTCGTCCAAGTCATGAAACCAAAATCACTCGCTGTGCCCAGTTACCGATATGACTTATCCAACAACCGCCTTCATACTTAGGCTCTCCAGGAAGCCACCCAAGTCTTCCTTCTTCACCTCGACCACGCAGTGCTCGAAGCTGTCGATCCGCACACGCGCGCTCGTCTCGGCCACAACTTCTTGGAATGCGCTGCCGAACCGGTTCAGGCCGTAGCCCTTGCCGTGCTCCTCTTCGTCCAAGTCTGAATCATCATCCGAATCTGACCCATCCGAGCCCTCCGACTCGGTCTCGAGCTCGTCTACGTCCTCGCCCGCCGCTTCCTTGGCTGCTCTCTTCTGCGCCTTGACCTGCTCCTTGGCCAGACGAGACTCCTCCTTCTTCTTCGCCCTGACCTCCTTGGCCTGCTGCCGATGCTTTGCCGATTCCTTTGCCATAAAGGTCGAGTCGGGGCCGCCACCCCCGCCCGTCCCAACAACCACGTAGACGCCGCGCTTCTCGTGCAGACTGGCCACCACCAAGGGCGTTCCGCGCCCCCCGTGCGACAGCTTTCCCTGTGCTTCTCTCTCTTGCTCGACGAGGGCCTCGCCGATCCATAGCGACAGTTTCGTCAACGCCGAAGGATGGGTAAACAGCGACACGTCGGGGCCATCCTTGACAACACATAGCCGGAATGCTCGCAAATGCTTGATTTGTTTCTTGTTAATCAGTGACGTGCCGGTTCTGTAGATGGCTCGATGCAGAAATTGCGCCGTAGGTAGGCCCGCTTTCAGAGCATCAATGTCCTCGAGCGCGTCGTAGGCTTCCCAGAATCGCCCAATCCACTCTTCGCCCTGAGCGGCAACTTCGGCGTCGTCTTCGACCTCGCGGCTGGCCTGGCTGGCCGCGTAAGCCAGACCCAAGGCCTCTGTGTGCTTGCCTACTTCGAGCAGGGCCCCAATCACTACGCCGACATCTTGCGCAGACAGTGTTGCGCGCCAGCCCCAGCTCCGCACGAACCCCCATCCGTCTTTGGCGCCTCCCCGGTCTTTGCCGTCCGTGTCCACTGCCGGTACCATCTCTTCCAGATTGTATAGCTTGCCGTATTGAAGCAATTTGGCTCGCAATTCTCGCTTCAGCATCATGTCCATGTGCGTGTAGCTCTGCTTACACTGCGCAAGGCTGACGCCCATCTTGGCCAGTAGCTTGTGCAGGCGCCTGATTCCACTCTCGCTCCACGTCTTTAAACGCGAGAACAAGTATGGAGAATGTAGCATGCTGTCGTATAAGCTCCAATGGCGGATGAGGAGGAAGCGCGGCTCCGGGGATAGTCTGATGCCTGTATCTTCGGGGTTGCGCGCCGTGGTCGGGATGACGCCCGTGTTCTCAGGAGCAACACGCCCGTTGGCCATTTCCGGGGGGTTCAATCGGCGCACTTCATCTCGCAGCAGCTGGCGAAGGCGTGCACCACGCACTCCCATCCATCCTGTTGGGCGATTATTGTCCGAGCCTCGGACCGGCGCGGCCACACCCGCCGACGACTTTCCGTACAACTCCATTGATGTCACACCGACAATAGTTAGCCACAGCAGATCATTGTCTTCGCGACCAAGCTCCGACGCCAACGAGTACATCATGGAGGAGATTGGGTCTGAAAATGACGATCCCATCTTGTAGTATTGTTGTAGTACTGTCTCGTTTTCACTTCGCATTCGCAAAAGTTTCCGTCGCAGGGCACGGGCCGAGGGCGCGGGCGGCTCCTGTGCGCCAGATGGAGGCTCGATGGGGTCGCTAGATAGTCCGGCGTCGGGGTCTCGAAGTGATACCAGTCCTCGCTGTGCTGGGCGTCTCGATGAGGGAAGCGGGCTCGACTGTCAAGAATTAGTATTTGCGGCTACGATATGACACATATACGCACCGAGTTACTCCGCCGCCGTTGATGAGGTCTATCATCGTCGTCATCGCTCCAGTCGTCTTGGTTGCCGGACGAGCTCTTGCGCTTTTGGCCGGCAAGAGCTCGGGGTTCTAAAGGGTTGTCGTCGTCGTCATCGCTCAGTCCTTGGTCGTCGTCGCCATTATCCTCTACCTCTGGCATATCTACCAACGCGAGATACGCACCACGCTCGGCTGACAGCTCCTCCTCGATGTCACCGTCATCAAACACAACGATTCCGCCGCGGTCGGAGTTGTAGGCGCGCCCAATTCCGCCACCTGATACGCCCACCGGGCTGCGCGACTGGTAGGACACTGCGGCGTCCGAGGAGGGCTGCAGTGGAAAGCCGCCAAAGACGTTGGCCAAATTCCAAGGACGGTGAGCATCAAGCACCCAGACCTCGACGCCGCTGTAAGGATTCTCGTCGCCCTCGGGTTCGAGCCCGAGCAGTGGGCCAAGATCAATCATGCCACCGACGCCGAGGCAGACGACAAGACCACCGGCGCCGCCCTGTGACTGCATCATGGGCGCAACAAGCTCCTTGCCGGCCTTTTCGAGGTCGGCGTAGCCCGAGATGGGATGTATCTTGTGCGGAATGTAATCATGCTTGAGCAGGCGGGCCAGGATGCGGCAGCCGCATAGGGCGTCGGGCTCGAGGGCGACGAGAATGAGAACGGGAGGAGAGAGGGGATGTCGCGAATTTTGTAGGTGTATATAGAGCTTGGAGATTAACGAGCGCGGCAAGTACATGTCTGCGAGAGTCGAAACGGTCGGGCCGGCCGGCCTCTGGATACATGCGGTGTCGTGACTCTGTGGTGGAGGCGAGTATGGCTTTTGAGAGTGAGTGGTAGGCGGCAAGGAAACATCGGCTACCTTGTGCGCGCGTGAGTATCAATCAATGTTTGGCTAAGAAAGGTAAAGTAAAGGTAGTTAAAGTAAACTGGTGTGGGTGTTTATGGCGGACGCGGTGTGGGAAGAGGCTGTCCAAGACGCGCTTTGTGGCTCCACGGCTCGACCCGCGTCGAGTTTAATGGGCGCCAGCGCCAGCTAAATTCCTCAGCCAACTACTAAGCTTAGGTACTTTATTGCCTACGAATTAATTCGTGCAGCCAGCTTCATTCAGAGTGGCTGCACTTAGACACTGCCATCATCATGCCCGGCTCTTAATCTTTATTTCTAATCATCTATCTTGTTCCTGCCTCTCCTTGCTCTATTCTCATGCATCCCCTCGCTTCATGCCCGACTGTCTCGCCACCCCATCATGGCGGGAACACTCACGCCCGCTGTCCAGTACGCTTCGAGTAGCGCGGCCTCAGAGGTATTTAGGGGCCTGCTGTGGTGACATGGCCGCCGAATCCCGCTCAATGCCAATTGCGATGGACCTCCGCTACGACTTTGAGTCTACCTCTGACTACGCCGGCTCGTTTTCGGCCTCAGAGTTTACCTCGGTCAAGACGAACCGTTTGCTCAATCTTTACGAGCATGGCCGGTATGCCTGCCCCTCCGCCAACAGCGGCTCTACTAACCTGGCCAGTCGCTACCAAGCCGTCGTCGCCGATCGTTACGGGCTCCCCAATGATGAAGCCGAGCAGCTTCGCGAGGGCATCAAGCACAGGCTCTACCTCGATCACATCCTCAAAGGTCATCACTTCTTCGCCCCCATCGGTGATGGCCCCCAAAAGATTGTCGATCTTGGGACTGGGACCGGCATATGGGCTATGGAAGGTGAGGTGAGGCCTCGTCTGCCGGCGCCTTTCCTTCGCTGACATGGAGGCCCTGGCAGTCGCTGAAAAATTTCCCAGTGCCCGAGTCATTGGAACTGACATTTCCGCCATTCAACCGAGTTGGACGCCCCCAAATCTTGAGTACCGTGTCGAAGATCTCGAGGACGACTACCGTCCGTGGACGAGCATCTACAACGATGCCGATCTCGTACACTGTCGGTTTTTCATGCAAGTGATTCGCGACCCTAAGCGCATGGTGGACACAATATTCGAGTATGTATTTCTCCCGGTTCGGGGGACGCTGCTAACTTGGTAGCCGTCTGAGACCCGGCGGTTGGATCGAATGCCACGACATTGTGGCGGAAGTCTACTCCAAAGACGCATCTGTTGGCAAGGACCACCCCATAAACCAGCTATACCATCTCATAGACGGCCCATTCACCGAGGTATACAAGTGGAATCTGCACATCGTACTGGAGCTGCCCAGCTTACTTCGCGAGGCTGGCTTTGTCAACGTGTCAACCCGCCGGAACAAGATTCCCATAGGCCGCTGGCCAAGCGAGCACAGCGAGCGGGAGATGGGCCTTTTTCAGCAGACTATTATCCTAGACTTTGCACTGGCTGTCTTGGCCAGGCATGACATCCTCGGATTAGACCAAGACGAGGCGGCCGAGCTGGGCCAGCAAGTGGTCGACTGCGTACATGACCCCGGCATGCACGCTTACATGGACTGGGCCGACGTGTGGGCACAAAAACCCGTAACCTGAATGTTCAAATATATTGGAGCCCTAAATCCGCCTGATGTTATGTTTGTAGATGGAATGTAGCACCATGTTTCACGTAATCCATGATTGTTGGGACAAGCCGTGGCGACTGTGGGGCGGGCTTGCGAGGCTTGTGCCGTTCGAGGCGGTTCGAGACGCTGTCAACAACATCTCTCCGCCATCACCCTCTCGCGTCGACCATGACCGCTTAAAATGGTGTCCCTCGGCCTCCTTTCGTCGAGCGACAAGGCGTCAGCGAACCGATCCAAGCCCGCCGCCCCCTCCGAGCTGCTGCCCGACTACATACACGACGCCGCCCAGCTGCCATGCGTACCGCCCGAGCGGCCCGACCTGCACCAGCTCAACAACTGCCTCGAGGCGCTGGCCGCCGTCTTCCCTAACATCCAGATTGAAGTCTTTCGCGAGCTGCTGTCCAACTTTGACGGCGAGTCGCGGCTCGCCCTCGTCGCCGACGCGCTGCTTAAGAACCGCGCCACTTGGGTCAAGGGCCGCTGGCGTGTCCCTGACAAGGACGATCCCCCGGCCGGCCCGGCCGTGCCCCGCGCCGACGCCTTTCGGAGTCCCGAGTACAAGAGGGCGGTGCGCGCCCTCGCCTGGCACGAGTTCCGCGGCCTGTCCCGCTCCACCATTGACGGCGTCCTCGCCGAGTCCAACTACTCATACCTCGAGTCCCGCCGCACCCTCGCCGCCCTGTCATCCAAGTCATGGCGCTTCACCATCTCGTCCATTTTTTTCCGACGTAAGCCCATTGTCACCGGCGAGGCTGAGAACCACCCGCTCGTTGTGTGGAAGTCGACCGGCCAGGGAGCCATCATACCCACGATCCGCGCCACCGGCAGCGCCGAGCTCGACAGGGAACTGTACGACACCCTGGTGGCGCCGCTGAAAGCACGAGACAAGGAGGCCAAGGAGGCGTCCGATCGCGAGCTCGCCCTTACACTGAACCTGCAGGAAGCAGAAGAGGCCGGGGCTACCTATGAGTGTGGGTGCTGCTTCACGACGGCTCCGTTTGAAGAAATGACCTCATGCACCAAGTCTGGGCACATGACCTGCTTCAACTGCGTGCAACACTCTATAAAAGAAGCACTCTTTGGCCAGGGCTGGCAGAGTAGTGTCAACCCTGCGACGGGGACACTCAAGTGTCTCTCCACCGAAGGTGATAGATGTCCCGGGCAGATCCCGTACGAGCAGCTCCAGCAAGCAATGATGCAGCACAGGGGCGGCGCGGACCTGCTTCTCAAACTAGACCGCCGCTTGGCGGACCACGGCCTCATCGAGTCCAAACTACCCCTCATCCGCTGCCCTTTTTGCAACTATGCGGAAATCGACGACCTCTATGTGCCAGCTGAGCTGGCCGGACTGCGCATCCGGTTCGACAGCGGCTACCAAATGCTGTTTCTCGGTGCTACGGCCATTGCATTACTACTTTTACTTCCAGCTATTCTCATGGTAACATTACTATGCGCTGCCGTGGCCGCGTACGTTCCCCTGGCCCCGTTCTTCCAGCAGCACTGGAGGCAGGCGGTTGGGAGACACAACCGGCGGCGGCGAGGCCTCAAGTTTACCTGCCAGAGCCCCGACTGCAAGCGTGTCTCGTGCCTCTCGTGCCACAAGTCTTGGAAGGACATTCACATCTGCCACGAGTCGTCACTGGTGGCGCTGCGCACCCAGGTTGAGCAGGCCATGAGCATGGCCGTGAAGCGCGTGTGTCCGCGGTGCAACACGTCGTTTGTCAAGAATTCGGGCTGCAACAAGCTGACGTGTCCGTGCGGGTACAAGATGTGCTACGTATGCCGCGCCGACCTGGGCGACGAGGGCTACCGTCACTTTTGCGACCACTTCCGACCGGACGGCGACCCACGGCCCTGCAAGGAATGCGACCGCTGCAACCTGTGGGAGTCGGAGGACACGGACCGCATCCTACGCGAGGCACGAGAGGATGCGGAGAGCCGGTGGAAGGACTTGGAGAAGAGGGAGCTCTCGGGAAGCGAAAAAGCGTTTCTGGCCACGGGCTACATTAATAAGAGCCATGACGTGGGCCTCCGCAAGCTGGTGCAGCGCGGCCAGCTCCCCGCGCTCGACGAAGTGTGTGACTTGGTGATTGACACTGTTTTTATCTAGCCATGAGTTACGAAGCGTTGGAATTGCGATACCTTCATTAGACATATGACATAATTACTATCCCATCTGTGCAGTGTAAATTTTATTGTCTAATATGTCTTGTCTAGATGCTTTTCACACAATCCCAACAGGCCCAATACTCCGTCATACCAAAAAATACATTACTCGACCTTGCCAAAGGCCTTGTTCATGGCATTGTGAGCAAGCTCGACACCCAAAAAGGTGGCGGCGTTGGCAGGCACAGCACGCGCCAGCGCGGGACCGAAACCAGGGAAAAATGCCTTGAAGCCGCCGCGTCCGTACAGCTCGCGAACGACGCCGCCCAAGCTAACGTTGCCCTCGGCCGTCTGCAGGCGCGACTTGACCGTGTCGACGGGGAAGACGGGGATCCACATGGCGATACCGGCGGCACCACCGGCGGCGATGATGGCACCGATGCTCAGCTCACCAGTGGGCCGGCCGGTGACGGGGTCCTTGGGGCTGAGGGTGCGCTTAATGTACTCGTACGCGGCGAAGTAGGCAGCGGAGCCGGGCCCGTCGCGGGCGAGGGTGGCGACGCTGCCACGGAAGACGCTGCGCAGGCCGCCCTCCTTGTAGAGCTGGCGGACGACGTCGACGCCGCCACTGTACTTTGGCTTCTCGCCGGGCGCGAGCGGCTTCTGGCCCTGGACCTGGAGGATGACCTTGACGCGCTCAAAGGGCGCGGTGATGGCGGTCATGGGGATAGCGGAGAGGAAGCCGGCCGCGGAGATTTGGGCGATGGAGAGGCCCTCGGGGCCGACGCTGGACAGGCTCGTGACTATTTGCTTGCCGACACCGTAGCCCCAGAATGAAACGGCGACTGGACGGTCAGCGGGGGAGGCATCGGGGATGAAGGAGAAGAGGGGGGCTTACACATGGGGGTGACGCCGACGAGGGGCGCGCTGACGCCGGCGTAGAGGCCGCGACGCAGGCCGTCGCGGGCGATGCTCTTCCTGACCACGTCCATGGCGGACGAGTAGACGCCGCGCTCGGCCGTCTGCAGGCGGACCTTGACGAGGTCAAAGGGGTGGCCGACAACGACGGCGCAGACGCCACCGACGGCGCCGGCGCCCGTGTCGCGCAGCTGGTTGAGCAGGCCCGAGGCCGCCTTGGCCTTGACCTGCTGCGCGTCGGGCAGCGCCTGCTCGATCTGGGCGACGGCCTCGGTGGTGGCCGAGGAGGAGCCGGACGTGGGCATCGTGACGGACGGCAGGTTGTGCGGGAGGGAGAGGGGGGGGTAATTGGGTTCGTTTGACGGTCGCAGGTCGAAGGCTGGTGTTTTCACAAGCTCGGGTTGTTTCTCAAGTTCCCCAGATTTCCAAAAGGCTGTCTTGGTTCCCTGCGCTGGGGCCGAGGCTATTCGTCAACGTGGGGCGGCTCGGGTCCGTTAAAACACCCACAAGGGGAGGAAAGGCAGAAGATGCAGGGAAAGGAAAAGAAGAGAAAAAGCACCAGAAAGGCTGGAACGAGGGAAATAGTTTCAGGATGAGAGAAATTAATTTGTGGTGGGAGGGTAAGGTGAGATGTGGTTGGCGTTTGCGTGCTGCAACGAGCAACGTTGGAACGGCTGTGGCAGGGGACTGTGACGTAGCACGTAACTAGCCTTCTCGGCAACAAGGGCGGTTGCCGATCACCGACCGAACACCCGCGAAAGCCGTAGTCAGTCCAGGCACATTGATAACCGGTAGTAGATGGAGAGCGCTTTTGGACGCCATTGACCGACACTTAAAATGCGCTGGTGTTCATCTGAATGATCATGATATTTTTGCATCAATTTCCCTAAATTATAAAGCGACGTAGCATCTGTGTAGTCCTCTCGGACTCCATATTCCATCCTGTCATCTTCTGCCGTCCTTCAAACCACAGGCACCAGGTGTAGGGTACATGAGAGCCCTCTAGAGCCACACAACCCCACAGAATACATCATCATCATCCCACATACCTCAATGGCATAACACCAGGACTAATTAGATGCTTGTAGAACCATTATAGTGCCGAAACGAGGTTGCAAATGCTCGCACCAAGAGTCAGAAGAACAGTGCGGCAACATAAAGAATAAAGAAGCGAAGCATGAAAAGGAGAAGTCTGATGATTCAAACCGGAGTAAGGAGTTCTTCGAACGAAAAAGCAAAAAGTAGGGTCCAGCCGGGATTTGAACCCGGGGCCTGTAACAAATTCCGGTTTTCCGGAGGAGGACGCAAGTGGTGCCCGAAGCTACAATCATACTGTGATTACGTAAGCAACTGATTGCCAGTCAAGCAAGGTGTCGTAAACTTACCCACTAGACCACTGGACCAGGTTGTTGAGAGGCGAAGATTTATTCTAATACATATTGTATTAGCCCACGCGTAGGTACGTTCTGAATAAGAAAATGCTTGTCGCTCTACTAAAGGACTCCCCACCGCTGACTCAATCTCCGACTTGAACGCAAAGAAATATTAATCGCCAGTTCAACTTCCGACAGTCGCTCGACGGACATTTCGCTCCTGGCCATTCGTCGGCGCGGCCAGCCGATTAACCCACACTCGTGGAGCACCGACCGTCTCGCCTCGTCCCAGTCCTACCTGGTCAATAACCCGCGCGAGACGTACCTTCTCTACGATACATGATACAGTCATTGCTACGGATATACGCGATTCCTTTGGATGTGTCAAGGCTCCAGATGTTCCTTTTACCCCGCAGCTCTCGCAGACTTCTAAGGTACACGTAGATGTGGGTAATAATCCCTGTTGTGCAGTACTACTGAGTACTGATATTTAGAGCCCAAGGAATGTCGCCAAATTGGAAGTACCTAGGTAACTAGTTTCTTGTACTACTAGGTATTGGTGCATACCCTTGTGAGTGACCAGCTTGGACCCACAAGGGCTATCAGGCTGTTACCTAACACCTTCGTTTAGATACTTAAAGCCGCTCCTTCCCCCCGCATTCTTCACACACACACCTGTCCTGAGAAGCCACGCACCGCGAAACTAGCAGTATTCTCAAGGGAATCTTCTAGTCGGCACAAGTGTCACGCTTGGCAGTCCTCTGCAATATTGACCTGTCCCCTTCCGAGAGTCATTCAACAAACCTGCGCCTCCAAATGTCAGACGGAACCGAAGCCGAGAAATTCAAGCGGCTATGGGAAGAGGCGAAACAACGAGCTGAGATCGCTGAGAAAGAGAGAGAGAGAGAACGGCAACGAGCCGAAAGATCTGAGAAAGGGAGAGTGGACGCTGAGAAAGGGAGAGAGGACGCTGAGAAAGGGAGAGAGAGAGAACGGCAACGAGCCGAAAGATCTGAGAAAGGGAGAGTGGACGCTGAGAAAGGGAGAGAGAGAGAACGGCAACGAGCCGAAAGATCGGAGCAGCAGTCTCGACGAACCACTCTCCAAGAATACATTGCTGCCTGTCATACTTCGGTATTCTCCAGGCTTACTATTGAAACAGACCCGAAATTCACTTCCAAGGGTTCCATCACCAACCCAAAAGACAAGTGGTGCCCTACTACTTTACAACCGTGGCCCGATTTTCTTGAGCAACAACGGTACGCCTTGGGTAACATTTACGACACCTTCCCTACCGAGACACGCGTATTCGAGAGTAAACTCTTCCTGGACAGTCTGGGGGACAGGGTGTCGAAACGACGAATTGTGGATGAGAGGGCGCTCGAGTGGTTCCTGCACACTAGTGTGGAAGACCCAGTCAGAAACATCTTCGAGCAGCTCAAAGCAGTACCAAATATCCGCAGCAAGTATAACATCGGCGACGGAATCATTTTCGAGAACCATCCACATGCTATTAGCGACATCGCCGAGGAAGTTCTGGAGAGTGCGACGCCGTCCACACCACCAGGCCAACAAGTAGATCTCCACCAGCTGCGAGCGGACCAAATCTGTATCTACCGATCCGATAGTGCACATTCGCCAGGACGTACTATGATCTATGTTTCGGAGTACAAGCCACCTCACAAGCTTACTGCTCCCCATCTTCGCCTTGGCCTACGCCCAATGAACATTTACAAGGAAGTTGTCCAACGCGAAACCATTCCAACTTCTATCGATCCGGACGCCCGATTTCAATACTTTGCAGAGAAGTTAACGGCATCCGCAATCACACAGACCTACCATTATATGATTGAAGGGGGGCTCGAGTATAGTCTTCTGACGACTGGCGAGGTGATCGTTTTTCTAAAGATCGACTGGAGTGATCCAGGAACTCTGTGCTATCACCTAGCAGAGCCCGACCCAGAGGTGAAAGAACACCCGAATCACTTGGACGCAGTATCAGTTGTCGCTCAATACCTGGCTTTCACTCTTCTTGCTCTTGGAGTACCTGGAGAGCGTCAACAGCATGGACAGATGGAGCGCGAGAAAGCGAAACTAAATTTGAACAAATGGGCGACAGACTTTGAAACGATGCTACACACTATTCCGAGGGATGAGCGAAAGAAAACACCAGAAGGCTCGCTTGCCCCCAAACCCAGAACGTACAAAGACTTTGAGCGGGAGCCGATTATTCTCCGTTGGGGGAGGAAATCCCGTGCTACTCAAAACAGGTGTAATGATACCATTCCACCAAGGCAAAACCCAGCAGAGGAGTCATCAGATGACGAATCGTCGCCGAAGCCGCCAGAAACGCCAACGCCGGCCGGAAGAGCGACCCGACAGAGCCAGCGAATTCTGGCGCAAAAGACACGTGATGGTGGTGGTAGTGAAGGAGGAGAGGCCGGAGTGACTGAGGCTGCGGCTGAGGCTGAGACTAGTCCCAAAACTGCCGATCATCGAGACCGACCATACTGTACGCAAAGATGTCTGCTTGGTATGGTCAGAGGACGGAAACTAGACCAAACATGTCCAAATTTGGACCTTCACCGACTGGATCGCAATCCTAAGCAAGCTCGTCACCCCGTCAATCACAAACAATGGCTCAACATGCTTCAAGAGCAGCTTAAGGAGTCCTTAGATGATGGAATTACGCCGTTGGGGCTTGGCGGTGCACGCGGGGTGCTTTTCAAGGTGACCCTGCTTACGTACGGCTATACCTTTGTCGGTAAAGGCACGGTTCGAGTCTTCATTAAAGACCTTGAGCACGAAGCGGCTGTGTACAAGCGTCTGCAGCCGATTCAGGGCGTGTACGTACCTGTGTTTCTCGGGGCGATTGATCTCCGACTGATGAACAAGATTTACTACTACGACCACCGAGTTTACGTGGTGCACGTGACATTTTTATCCTGGGGGGGATGTGAAATCTCTGAACCAAGGGAGGATAGCAACACCAAGGAATCGCTGGAGCAACAAGCAACTCTGTCGCTGCAAGCTCTGCATCGACTGGGGGTTCTGCACAGGGATGTACGACGCGCGAATATGTTGGTCAACTCTGAGACCGGTGGTGTCATGATGATTGACTTTGAGCGAGCCGAGTTGCCTAAGCGGTCTCGCGAGCATAAAAAACACATTCATCATTCTGGGAAGGAGGAGCAGAGGTTTGTAGACGAAACTTGGGAGGTAAAGGCAGTATTCGCAAGATAAATAATTACCTAATAGGCTTTAAGTCTTAATAATACATATTATATTGCCTATATTGCCTATATTGCCTATATTATCTATATTATTATATTATACTAATTAGACTAGCTAGTCTATCTAGTACCTTTATAGCTTATAAGATAAGGAAAAAACTAAAGTACTTAGAGAAAAAACCCTAGCTTTAGTATATTTAATATAATTCTAGAGTAATTCCTAGTAAGGAATAGTATACTCCTTATCTTAATAAAAGATAATAATAATAAGTATAAATATATAAAACTTAATAAATTAATAAACCTACCTATTCTTTATTTAACCTATATACCTTTATAGTTCTATTCTAGCTTAAGGTAAATACTATATATAGTTATGGTTTTTTTTATATTTTAATTCTTAAATACTTTAAAGTATAAGTAAGTATAATAATAGTTATAAATAGTTATAATACTTACTTTTATTATTCTTTTTTTTAATTTTAATAGTTTATTTTCTATATTATTTATATTTATATATCTTTACTAGTAAATACTAGGTCTAACTTACCCTATACCTACTTATAGGCTAAAATATAAAAATTAAGTTTAATAAGTAAATTAACTTAATATCTACTTAGTTTATAGATTTTATTATATTAGTAGGTACTATAGTAAATATAGTTAGCTAAGTATAGTAGATATTTAATAAGATATACTATATATAAAGGTATATAATAAATAGAGTTATATTTATTTATTTATTAAATTACCCTAATTAGACCTTATAGTCCTTTTAGTACCTTAATAAACTTATAAGTGCTAGAAAAACCGTGGTATCTAACTATTGCTAGCCTTTACCTAGGTAAAAACCAGCCTCTCCTATATACTAATCTACTATTATATAACAATTCCTAGTAGGTTTAATAGTATTTAGTATTCTTAGTTAGTAGGTTCCTAGGCTATTACCTTAATTTATATCCCTCTATATTTTTTATTATTTATTAACTATCTAGATATATTAAATTACTTACTATCTATATATATATCTAAGTAATAGAAGAGTCCCCTATTATAATACCTATTAATAGGTATATACTATAGTATTTATATAGTTTTTAGCCTTATTATACTATAAAGGCTAATTTAGTATAGTAGTTAGTATATACCTCTTAGCTTTTTACCCCTAACCTACTTTATAGTTACCTTACCTATATCCTCTTTATAAGTTAGTTATATAGCTAGGCTATACTATTTAATTTTTAGAAAGAAATTATTTAGGGTACCTCTAGCTAAATTTAAACTAGTAATCTATATACTAACCTATATAGAACTCCCTACTATAGAACTACTATACTATAAAGGTAATAGAGTTATATTATATATAGTTATATATAGTAGCTAGTTATACTATATAGTATATATATATAATAGTTATATTATATAATAATATATAAAGAAGTTTTAATACTTATAGTCTTAATATAAAATACTATAAAGGCTATTATAATAAGTAACTAAGTATTAATAAAGCTAAATTACTATAAAGGTATTATAGCTTTTTATAAGTAAATAAAGTAACTACCTATAGGCTATTAACTACTAATATATATATATATATTATTTATTTCTTTATTTTTATAATTTCTTAATAATACTTAAAATACTATTTATTTATATATTTAACTATAGCTTTTCTTTTCTATAGCCTATTTTATTAGTTAATTAAGAATTATTATACTATATAATAGTTTTTATAAAGTATCTTTATAAATACTTATATTTATAATCTTTTATTTATTATCTATTTAAAATAGTAATTTTAATACTAATTAGTAATTACTTTTATCTTAATTATAAATTTTTAATAAAACCTTTATTTTCTTTATATCTTTATAGCTTTATAACCTTTTAAAACTATTTATTTTATTAACTATAATATCTAATATAATTATTAAAAAACCTAATATTTAAATTAATATACTTAATAATATAATTAATAAGAAACTTCTAATTAAGTCTTTAATATAATAATAATAATAATTTTTATATACTAATTAGGTTAAATAACCTATCTAGTACCTTTACTAATTATAGGATAAGGAAAAACTAGAGTACTTAGGGGAAAACCTTATCTATATTTTATAGGATTTATTATAATCTTATTCTAGAGTATATAAGGGTCTAGTAAGACCCCTCTTAATACTATATACTAGGTTTTTATCTATATCTTAGCCTATATCTAGCCTATACTACTCTAGCTAGCTAAGCCTAATAACTACCTCCCTTCCCCCTAGGTTTTTATCTATATTAAGAGGGCTATATCTAATCCTATATATTTCTAGACTAGTTAAGCCTTAAGTCTTTAATATAGTTTTTATTAAGGACTAGCCCTAGGGTATTTATAGGTAAGTATTATAATAGTATTAACTCTCTTATAGAGTAAGAGAGGAGGAAAAGTTAGTCTATCTATCTACTCTAGTATATAAAGAGGGTATACTAAGGGTATATCTATAGTAGCCTTAGGCTAAGCCTAGTCTAGAGTAGGCTTAAGCTTAACTCTTTTATATACCCCCCTTCCCCCTTTATTACCCTAGTTATATATATTATACTTACCTAAACTAGTATAGGCTTATTATACCCTATTTACCTAAGTTAATATATATTAATATATATATAATATTTATACTAAGCTATTACCTAAGGCTTATATTTATTAGCCTATATATATATTATTAAAAAGTATTTTTATAGTAACTTTAGTTTATTTACTTTTTACTATAGCCTTTATACTTAGAAAATTCTTTTAAGTAGCCTATATATTATAATTACTCTTACTTTAAGCCTAGCTACTTAAGTAGTTAATATTTATTAGCTTTACTTTTAACCTATTTATAACTAATTATATTATATTTTAATATCTTAGTATTATTAGTTATTACTTAATAATAATAAATTATTAACTTATTATTACTAAGTAAGGTATATTATATATATATTATATTATTAGTATATTTAAAATAAGATATATTTCTTTACTTAGTTAGCTTTTTTTTTTATAAATAAATCCTTTACTTTTTTTACTAATTAGTTTTATTTTTTTATACTTTATAACCTCTTTATTACTTTATATCTTTAAAATATACTCTTTTAAACCTTAAATAACTTTATAATAACTTATAATTATAATAATAATAACCTATAATATTAACTACTACTACTATACTACCTTTACTATTATTACCTAATAATAATACTAGCCTAAAAGGGTATAAAAAAGACTATTAAATAATTTATAACTATACCTTATAAAGAGACTTTAATAATAAAGAGTATTAATTTAATAATAAGCTAAACTTTCTTTATATTATATATTTCTTATATTTATATTAAATAATAATATTTAAATATATTATAAATACTAATAGTAAGTATATTACTTATACTATAAGCTATTAGTCTTATATTTAAAAGCCTATCTTATTTATAAATAGTCTTAACTTATATTACTATATATATACTCTAGTATTATTTATTAATAATAATAAGGCTATTAATTAATATTATATATATTAAAAGATATAAATATATAATTCTAATAGTTATATAGATATATATATAAGACTACTTTACTAATACTCTAACTAATATATATATAAACCTAACTAATATACTATCCTTACTTAATACCTTAGGTATTATACTAGTTATTACTTTAATTACTAATACTATAATAGTAATAGTTCCCTAAAGCTATAATACTAATAGTAGTTTTAATAGTTTTATTTATATAATACTAGGTTAGATTAATTAAAACTTTATTATATTTATAGTAAATATATATTCCTTTCTCTTTAGTTTATTACTTATATCTTAATAAAGGATAATATAAGCCTAGGCTATATACTAGAAGGCTACTAATAATACTATCCTAATAATATTATAATACCTAGTTACCTTTTTAATACCTAACTATTAGGTAATTAAATATTATAAGTTAGATTATAACTCTTTTTTATATTACTAGTTTAATAGCTATTATTATTATTATTATAATAATTTATACTATTTTTATTTATAGTATTATTACTTTTACTCCTATTTATACTTATATTATTATTACTCTTCTTCCTATTATTATTTTTAAATACCTAATAATTACTTAATATTACCTATCTAAATATACCTACCCCCTTCTTTACTATTACCTTATAACCTAGTTAGTAATAATATTATAGCTATGGTTTTCTAGTATCCTAATATCTAGGAATAGGGGTATTATGGTAAGGCGTATAAAGTATATATATAGGGTCCCCTATTATATAGGCGGCCTAGCCTATATATATAGGCTATTATAGATATAGTAGAGGTAGTGCTTTTATTTTAATAGGGTATAGGACCCTATCTATAATATTAAAAAAGCTTACTATAATATTTACTACTACCTAGTAGCCTAATTTCTCTTTTAAAAGGGGGTAATAGTACCCCTTTTCTATTATAGTTATTAGGATATATTCTATATAATATATTACTATTAACTATACTAATATTATTCTAATACCTTATACTACTATCCTTACTCCTACTCTTCCTAATACTATTAAACTAGATATACCTTATATATACCTATTATCTATTTTACTAGTAGCTATTACTACTATTACTACTAGTTATACCTTATAGATACTATAGTAAATCTTACTATCTATTCTACTATAATATTTTTAGTTACTTTATTAATACTATTATATAGGTATAGTAGCTAAAGAAATATATAGTATATTATATTAGGCTATCCTTTAATATATATACTAGTTATTAAGATATAAGTATAATTATATCTATTATAGAGGTCTATTAGGTAAATACCTATAAGGAGAATAGCTATAGCTATAGTGTCTTTTTATATATAGTAAAGTTAGAGTTTAAGGTCTATATATCTTAAAGCTATATAGTATATATTCTTTATCTTAAGATAAAGGCATTTCTATAAAATGCCTTTATTATCTCTAGTAAGCTATATACTACTATTATTATATTTTTTAAGGCTAATTAATAATATATTTACTATAGCTAGTGCTTTTTTATAGAATTAATATATATTTAATCTAAAAGATAACTATTTTATCTTTTACTAGTTAACTATTAAAGGCTAAATCTTATTTAACTAGACTTATACCTTTTATATAACTATATAGCTTTAGTTTAAAAAGATTTCTATCTTTATCTCTCTTATAAAAAAGGTTACCTATATA